GGCCGTGGAATAACGCAGTTAACATTTTGTTTTTTTAAAAGCTCTTAACCATAACTTTTAATTTACCACATAATTTTGAATTTCATTCTTTGAAGGAAAGAAGAATGCAAAAAAAAAACACGCTTAAAAATTTAATATTGTATTTTATACGAATCATTTAATCCTATTGTATTGTATTTTATATGAATGATAAACCTAATATTTTTACAGAACCTACATCCACTGAGAAGAATAACAAGAAGTTTAATCTAAATAATTAACTATTTCGATTAAACAATGTTCCTATTTAGTATTAAGTGAATATTTTTAGTATTAAGTGAATATTTTTAGTATTAAGTGAATATTTTTAGTCCTAAGATCAGAGGACTTGACTGTGTGGAAAAGGATTTTACTAACTGGAAAACAATCACAAAAGAGCAGAATGGAGGAAGGTTCTAGGGAACGTTCTGGCCCACAAAGGGCTGCCATGCCAATAGAGGAAGTATATTTTTAGTTTAAGAAAACATGCAATGAAATATTGACCAAAGCCAATTTAATTATTCTTTATAAATATTTTACGTCATTTTAATACTAAAAATTAAAACTATTCAAAATTAAAAAATCTTTAAAAAAAATTTATTTTATGTGAGCACTAGTTCGCCAAAAAAGAAGCCAATTGACTAAGAATAAAATCTTGTCATCCATTCAAACAATGTATTTCAGGGAAATGTAATGGAGGGGCGTTAGTCCTGCATGAACACTCACTTTTCCTAATTAATGGTTTTCCAATCGATAACCTTTTTCCCGAAATCAGATCAAATGCAAATGTTTAATTTAGAGGAGCACTTCTTTTATTTCCACCCCATTCCTGAAAGCTTTAAACTGAGCGAAGGAATTTCAAAATTTATTTTTTATCATTCACTATTCATAGAATTTAGGAATTTTGTTTAAATTTTCGTTCAAAAAAAGAGAAATCTTAACGAATTGCCTTTCTGTGTTCTTAGAAAAGAGAGTTATCTAAGAACACATATATGCAATCATTTTTAAAAAACAATTACTTATTCGCATAATTTTACAGAAGATTTTTCATGTAAAAGTGTTAAAAAGTAATTTAGTTTCAAAGTAATTATAATTTCTAGAGACTAGATGATTATTTATTAAAATATTTATTGCTGTTTTGAAAAAATAAGCCCGTAATTTTAAAAATAATAGTACCGCAGGCCTGCATAAAGCAATTTTAAAATGCTTCTCGCCGTTTTGAAAAATAAGGCTCAAAACATTAAAAATCCAACTGTGCAAAATAATTCTGCAAATGTGTGTAAGATAATTTTAAATTACTTTACACTGTTTTGAAAAATAAGTTTTATAACTTCAAAAATAATAAATCCGTAGACCTATATAAGTTGATTTTAAAATACTTTATGCTGTTTTGAAAAAAAGAAAAAAAAAGAAAGAGAAAAAAGGAGCTTGCAACTTTAAAAATAATATATTAAGAGACTTTTAAGATACGTTATGCCGTTTGGTAAAAAAAAAAATCGCAACTTCAAAAAACAATAATTCTGGAACATATTAGTTAAAATATTTTAAGCTGTTTCAAAAAATAAGATTCGCAACTTTTCAAATAATGATTCTGTGCAGACCTACATAAATTAATAAAATATATTGTGAATTCAGAATATATTTTAATTAATTTTACACTGATTTAAAACAAACTGTAGTTGTTGACTGTCGCATTACAAATAATAGGCTTATGATTTATTTTTTATTTATTTTGCAGTTAAATTAAAAACTAATACGCCGATTAACACATCCCGCAACTGTGGCTTAGCATTTTGATTAAAAGCCTGCAAAAATCGTTAAATCAATTTTAATCATTTTATCATCAATTTTAATCGATGATTTTCTCTTCCTAAAACACAATATAATGTCCCTCACAATTTTGGTGATGTAAAAATTGTGAAATTTTCATAACGCTAGAGAAGAAAAATCACGTCTGCCTTTTGTTCAACAGTGTAATTAAGCTCTTTTCTGGCCAAAAACGAATTAGCTGGCATCATTCATTTTATCAAACACAACAATTAAAAAACGTAAGTTTTTTTTTTTTCCTGTTTAGTGTCGAAAAAGTGTGTTGTGTTGAAGAAGTGTGTTGTGCTAATTTCAAAAAGGCAAAAGGGTTTTCATCTATCAACCATGGGTGTTGATCCCGGGGCAAAAGACATTAATTTCCTTCAACTATAGATAATCCTCTACAAATATAACTTACTATAGACAGACCACGTGCCATAAATTATAAAATTCAAACAAGGCACAAAAATTGCTTGTTCCAAAGGAAAAATGAAACAAAAGGTATGTTATTTATCAATACCTTACTTCCAAATGAGCATAAAATGAATTTTTTCTTCTTTTTTTTCGCTATGAAGATTTATGTATGTGATACAAATTTTTACAATATTTTAATATATATTTTTCTGAAACAAACATTACATTTACGAAACAAAACGAGTGAACTAAGTACTACTGAACTGTGGTTCAAAGTAATTTCTTTAATACTAAAAAAGTTTGTAACACTTTTTTTGAAGTAAAATAAATGCAACGAAGATTTTCTTAAATAATTTTTCTTGGGGCTCATAGCATTGATTTGGTAAAAATTTGCAAAAATTTTATTGTTATAAACAAAATTATTTTGTTATTTAAGTACTTTAAATTTAAGAAAAAAAATTGCTCTTCTTTAGAAGAAATTAATACATCACTGTTCCTTTTAAGCTGTTTAGAGATACTTTATAATGTAATAAAGTCCTTTTGGAAACAAGAGAAAACAGTTCTTACACCAATATATTGAATTCATGCAACATAATAAAAAATGAGGTTTATACTTATGCCTAATTACTGATTATGTATTCAGAAACTTTTCTCCGAACCTTTTCATCAGCCATGCTATAAATTACAGCAAAAAATTAACAAAATGTTAATTTATTGTACATACGCGAGATCTAAATATCGAATAAGAAAAGAGGAAGAGAAATATTAAGTGAGCGAGAGCGTTTAGTTTTGAATAATAAATTAAAAAGATTAAGATGAAGAAATAACTTAAAAATATTAGTTGAAGCTTTTTATGTTATATATATATACACACACCTTCAAAATGGATCAAAGTAGTTTTTAAAAGATTGAAAAACAGCACTTACAAACAATTAAATAGTGCTGTTCATCATTTTATTTTGTTCTTGTAAAATTTTCTTTTTGTATGAACATTTTTTCGTAGTCTGTTCCTTTGGCTGTTTTCCAAACGCTTCCTCTTACTCCTTATTTTCCATTTAAGTCATTTCTTCCAGAAGAATGTGTCTAAAAGTTACTTTTCATTTTTATACCTCACTTTATAACTGTGACGCTGTCATATAATGGTCATTCAATTCACTTACACACTCCCATTTAGAGAGAACATCCAGGCATTTGAGTTTAAGTAAACAATATGAAACTAAAACCCAGCTAATTTTAGCAACTAACGTTTTATTCATGATTTGCTCAAAACATTACAGTTAAAATGTCTTTAAAATCTACATTAAATGTTGATACATCGAGATCAAGAAAGTTATTCAAATAAGATTTAAAAAAAATTATTATTTTAAAAGAAATAATCAAGAAAATTTGGAAAATCTTAGATAATTAACTAAAAGGGGAATAATCATTAACTTCACTTCATCTAATGAAAACAGTCTGAATCATATATATTTGGCAGAAAAATTTAATTTATTTAAATTATGGGAAGTATTTTGATTATACTGTTATTTCATTTACTATCCATCATTTCCTGCACTACTTGACGTCTCATTTTACAATGAAAAATACTATTATTGATGAAATAACTTATTCTCTCTCTAATACTTCACTGTAACAGTTTTTTTTTTCCAATTAGACAAAGTGAAGCTAATAATTTCCATCCCACCCTAAATTATCTAAACTTTTCCCATTTTATTTTATTTTCTTTCAAAGTATTAATTTATTTTAACTTATTTGAATAATCATCTGCAAACTCTACTATGCTGATCCTGATGAATCAATCAATCTTGATGTATCAATCGATATCGAAGCAAGTTTTAATTACATTTTTCAATTAATTCCAATTTTCTCCTATACTGCAGCATATCTACAAAGAAATAATTAACTAATAAATATTTATGATAATTCTGAAGAGAAGATGAACTGAAAATGCCCTCCATTTAAAATGGGATAGTCCTGCTAACATCCCACTTACTCGGACAGCCGACGTAAAACGTAAAACAAGAACGAGACTTATGTGGCAAAGATATATACACAAAGATGAGCAAATATGCAAAACCAAATGGGTGGGAAGAGGGAAGTGGACAGAGATGCTTACCTTATATTTTAGAAAGAAATTTACTATAATTTTAGGAATACTAAATAGTGGATAATTAAGAAAATTCAAAATTTTAAAAGCATTTAAAATATTACTTCCAATAGAAAAACTAACAAAGCAGCAGTGAATCTGAAAGGAATTAAAACATTTCAATTTCATTTCAATTTAGTTGTGTCTCGCAGTCAGTTGTGTTAACTAGTTATTGGATTTTTGTTTCAGGTAAGCTTTTGTATGTACTATTCATGTGTATTTGTCTTGTTTTTATTCTTCTGTACTTGTTTTATGTATTTTATATTTTATATTCTTTTCCTGGACATTGGCAAAATCTTTGAGGTACAGAGAGAGCAATTTTAGACTTTTGTCAAGCTCTCTCAATAGAAAAGGTTTTGCTTTTATGACTTCCGGAACTGGTACCCTCTGACATCAGCTTTGGTTGTCATATTTATCCTTTTTTTTTCATATTTCATTGTGTCTTATAAATATTAGTTAAGTTATTTTCTTTTTTTTCCCCCAATGCAATATGAAAAAAATATGTTAAGATATTTTCATTCAAGGCATTTTACAACAGTATTCTATTTTAAAAGACAGCTCGCAAATTTAAAAAAAAATATATAAATTTTGTCAATTATAAAAATCAAACACAAAGTGAACATTCAGAAGCACTTTTATTTTCACAAATTAGTATGAGCAAAGTGTTTGTTTAGTTGAGGCTACAGTCAACAAAAAAGACATCTACTCACTTAGCATGATTCACACACACACACAAAATATAAACGTTGAGATCACTACTCAACCAATAAATAGTACAAAATTCAAAAAAATTAAAATTTAAAACAATAAGGGAAGACAGTAAAAGGTAATTAATTAAGTGAAGGCACATATTTCAGTGTTACAAAAGTTTGAACGTAGTCATTTTCATGTACCTGGAGAAATGAGTAAATAAAAAATATTTCATGTAGCCTATAAAGTAATAAACAAATTATATAAAAATATCAGGGTCATCAAGCATAATGAGCAAATTGAGAGGTGTGTAAGTAAGCGATGTTTTGAAATTTGGCAGCTGCTGTACTGAACATGAGCATCGAGTACTTGCACATGTTGGAAAAGCCACAAAAACCATTGCAGAAGAATTTAACTACTATTATATCTATTTGGCTGGGAGCATTTAAAATAAACCGGTCCATTGCAAATCCCTGGCAACTAGGTAATATGCTTTCTAATTTACTTTCTTAATGTAAAAAATATAAATAGGAGTCGCAATTCATTGGTAGATCAATGAAATATATGGAGAAAAAACTAAAACTGGGTGGTATATCATGAAATATTGATATTTCAGAAAGATCATGATAACGGAATTTTAAAAAGTATTTTTATTTCTTTTTAAATGCCTGGTCTTACAATAAATATTTAACAAAAATCAAAATTGACAAAAATAAATATTGAATACAATAAAGTTGCAACTATAAATGACAGTAATTATCGAATATAATAATATTGTGATTGTTACGGACAAGAATAAATGTCAGATATGATAATATTGAACGTTTCTGGATTGTAGAATCATGATACTAAAATGTTGATATCACTCAGTTTTAAAGGAAATAATATGAGTAAAAGAATAGTAAGATATGAGTTAGAGCATTCAAAGATGGCCACATGGATGCAAATTATAAAGGAGAAAACAGAAGATTTCTCTGAAGATTTGGGTGAATGGTATGTTTCTAAAAGGATCAAATTTAAAAGCTGGTAGTGCAACTGACAAGTCACTTAATATTAGTAAAAAATATGAAAATACAAGTGTAAGTAAATTAAAGCACAATCTGACAAGTAAAAATAAAATTAACACTTGTGGTTTACACTTGTGGTTTTAATTTCAAAACAGTACTTACTTTTAAAAAAAACATACCTTTTATATAAGAGTTGCATATTTAGAACAATGATTACCAAACTTTGTTTTTAACAATAAATTTACAACGAAATGTTGCAATGGATTAAAATAATGAGCCATCAGCAGAATATGTAAAAAATATGAAGCAAATGCCTTTTTAATAATTCTTTATTGACTAAAAAAATTTACCCAGCCCTTTTTTTATGCAGATGACAAACAATTGTAGCAAAAATATAAGATAAATCACGACTCTTTTTGCCAAGTATGATCATTCAAAAATATTGAGAAAAAAATAAAAAACCTGTCAAGCTAAACATGAGCAAACTATTTAATTTGTGTATGTTTTAAAGTTGAGTATTTAAAATTTTTGAATACATACAGAATATGGAAGGTTTTTACAATTTAAAATTTTTCTTAAATTTTAAAAAGTATAACAATACAGTTAAACCTCAATATCATAAACTCAAAAGATGATACTAAAAGTTTTGTGTTATAGAAAATCGAGTATTTTAATATAATAGTGAATATTTTTAAAAGTTTAGTTCAATTAACAACTGTTGTGACACTTTAAAATTGTATAACAAGTATTTTCTTTTTAAAAAAAAACAGTTACTTCAAACACCACTAACATCTTTGATTCTCAATTTCATTTTACGTGAATATTAGAGAAATTCTTTCATTTCAACATTTTCCTCTTCTACTCTCTCTGCCGATACTAGTACCTCTTTTAATATTTCTGATATAATTCTTCCCAATCGCCAAACACATCAAAATTATTTGTCTAAACTATATCTTCATAACTTCCAATTTCTTTTGGATTCAGTAAATTTGTTAGTTGTTTTGAATCTCATGGGTATTCTCATCTGTGCACACATTGTTAGAAAAAGATAGTTAAGACAACTTCTCTTTGATCTGTTAGGCAATCTCGTACTTAAAAGGGTCTTCAAGAAATTGTTCATAAAATTATTCAAGAAAGTATTTTAAATTCTTCAGAAATTACGAAGAAAAAAAAACATTTTGGGTAATCAAAAATTTTTCGTGAAATCAAAAGTCACTAAGAAGTGTATTTTGGTTCGCTGAAAGAGATTTCATTCTATCATCAGCCTAGCAAATGCATAAGGAATTCAGAACTTCTTCTGAAGTTTGTGATATCAAGGTTAACAATGTAAAATTTAATGCAATGTGATAAGGATGATAACCAAGTTAGAAAAAAAAAGAGAGGCTGAACCCAAAGCACAATTATATAATATGATAAATGGTAATATTTGTAAACATTTTTGAATGATTTTTCTAAAATTAAAATGCAGAGTTATATCTAAATAATATACAAATTTTGATGCACTATCACTGCTACCTGTAGAGAGGAGAATTTTGAAAAATATAAATCTTTGATAAAACAAATGTTTAAAATGCCAAAGGCAAATATAAAATTTATCTGGGGCAATGGACTGCGAACATGCAATTACTGAAAGAAGCATTTGCCTAACATAAGTTCTCTAATTTTTTAGGTTCGGCACCCTACCTTTACTTCGTCTTACAATTTTACCTAAATTTTTTTCATTTAAAATATTACTCATTTCATACAGTATAATGCAGAGCAAAATGTATTATAAACAAACAATCACTTTTCAAACAAAACCAGTGTTTTCAAATTTTTAAGCAAAAAAAGTGACATTTTTCAGAGAAAAACTTAAAGCATGTGATGCAGATCAACAATTCGGAATACTCACTTGACTGGCAACTGTGGTATGACTATCACAATATATTTATTTTCAAACCATTAAGATCCTAAAAACAAGAGTATACCTGGTTCATGCTAAGCGAGAACAGGTACGTAATCAATACTTAAATAAGATACACAGGAATGCATCACAATGAATATAAGTTCTTTTCCATGGGTACTTCGAACTAGTTATTCAGTATAAAATATCATAATGTCCAGGACGATATAGTAAATGAATTCTGGGTGTCTTATCTTCTGGAAAGTCATGAGCATTCACATGATCTCCGGTACCTCGATCCATATACTGTACTCGCACACCAACACCCAGAGCTAATGTCAAAGCTATAACATGAATATGATCACTTTCTTTATACATGGGTTCCACTTCCTAAGAAGCAAGAGTTAAAAAATTATATGAGTTAAAAAAAAACAACATAACATGAGTTTTTAAAAAAAACTTGAGTAAAAAAAACATGAGTTAAGAACAAAATAAATAACAAGAGTTTATTTAAATCTGTTAAAAAATGTAGGGTAAAGGTTTTCAAAGGCATGTTTGATAATAATTTATTAAAACTGAGGCATTTTTTTTTCAAAACCAGCTTAATCCATTTTCAGAAATTTAACAGGAGAATTAAAAACTTTTTTGGTACTTGTGTACATTTTCGGAACAAAATGAGTCAAAGCAAACAACATGAAAAGGAAAAAATTTAGTAGATTTGGTGAAATAGTATAAATTTCCTGCTAACTGCTATGTATTTATATTCTAGACACAGAAAATTTTAGGCATTTTTATAATCAATAATACAAAAACTATATTACAAAAACCATATTACACTAATAATAATAAATTAAAATTGACTGAAATATTTTCCATTTATGATTGACATTACATGAAATTAAATATAAAAATATTTTCATTATGTTTCCTACATTTCTGAATAGTAATATTTATTGAATTCATTATAGAAAGTTATAATGTATTTCTTATTTCAGAAATAAAGAATTCTGAATATAAAAAAAAATAAGAAAATTTTAGAATATTTGAAAAAATAAAGCTTCAAACTGATTATAAATGAGGCTTACTTTATTACTAAACAGCAATACTTATTTGAATTCTCAAGCACACAATGAACTGAGTCAAAAAATCTATTTTGATAAGGATTTAAAAAAAAAAAAAAAAAAAAAAAAAAAAAAAAAAAAAAAAAAAAAAAAAACTTATCCGATTATAGGGAAATATCTAAAAATATACACAAGACGAAGAGAATTCATGATTAAACCAAGATATATGAAAGAACTGGTAAAATTTAGTTGTCTACTAGAAAATCTAGCATAGTTAGTAGCTACAACTGCTATACTAAGTAAGATTTAGGATTATTATCGCATAAGACATTTTTTCTTTGAATAAATTAAATATTTTTCATTGAGCTGGCTGTAATAGAAGAACTGTTTAGTTTTTTTCTAATTTTAATAGAAATAAATCAAAAATACTAGATTATTTATGTAAATGAGTAGCATATTTTTAAAAAATAATAAATATCTGAAAAAAACACATTGTATTTTCGATGAAAGATTTTTAAAAAATAAATAAAAAAGAAAATTACTGTTTTTTACTTAAAACACACAATAACATTATAGAATAAGTATAGATGCAAAATACTTTAAAAGATTTTTTTTTTAAATGAATTGAGCTGATTTTGAAGCCACATACTTCACTTACATGGAATTATTCATAGAAAAATATGATATGTGAAATTAATAATAGATACCAAGGTTATTGCTGATAATAACTAAATTTGGGTAGCCTTTAAAATTTGTATCTCTTATAAGCAAAATTAAGTTCTAAAATTTTGAGATTTAAAAAACATTTTTCAGTTATAAAAATGTAAAAATATATCATAGATTAGATTCGTCTTTCATTTTTTCAATTAAAATCCGTTTTATTTAAAAAATAATATGTTTTAAGACTTAAAAATTGAAGTTCAATATAAAAAAGCTATTTCATTAACAACTTAATTTAAGTTTTTATAAAAATGTTTAACATTTTATCATTTTAAAATTTCAGTCATCCAGATCCACATAGCTTTTTATTTATTATTTTATTGTTGAATTTCCTATTTTCAACTGCAATGCAAATTTAAGTGAATCAATCAATCAAACAATTATTTTTCAATATACAGCATAACAATATTTATACATGCACATCTCACCCATAAAACATAAATCTTTGAAATCAAACATCTGAATGTTCATTTGCAGTAATATAAGATATTGCAGCAATAAGATATTCCAACCCACATCTACATAATTACTGCTTACAAGTGGATTCTCTTGCACCTCAATCACATTGGCTTTACTTGATTGCATTTTCATTGTGGCATGGTTTATTCTGTTGTATTTATACAGCAGTATAATGCAGATCTAAGCAAATTTTAAACTTAACTATGCAATTTTATGTTTTCATGCGATTTTACAACTATGTGATGATTTGAATTATATATTTGATTCATGAGGAATCCATTATTCAGCAAATCTAGGAGGTTTTATCAACCATATTTTTGGGCAACTCATTTATATAGTTTGAAATCCCTCCCTTTTTCAAATGATATTATAATACATTAATTTTTGAATACAGTTAAGAAATCACAAATTCATTAATTTACAGGGAGACTTAAATTATAAACTTGATTCGCAAAAGCTCCATTGTACATTAATTGTGGCGTTAATGATAAATTTTTGACACATATTGTCAAATGTTTTCTTTTAAAAAAAATTTTTATTATTTTTGACAAGCGCATCATTATATATAAACAACAAATTTGTAGATCCAAGAAATGTGAAATTTCACAACTTATAACCTACTTCACCTATTTTACTTTTTTCAAGCACTTGAAGCATTATTATAGTGCTTAAGTGGCAACCCTACCTAGTAATAATTCGTTCACAACAGAAACAAGAAATTTTCTTAACCTTGAAGAAATACTAAAATAAGGCACATTGATATTTCTTCATTTAAAAATAGATTGATTTATAAAAAGAAAAACAACCTGATGGCAAAATTCTTTCACTGTCCTTTCACCTTCAATAAAGTTACTAAAAAAGGTTTCCTCCTTCTGCAAGTATCCAGATGTGATCAATCTAAACAAACATTTAATTTAAATAAATCACTTGTCTTTATTAATAATCATACTTAAGACAATTTTACAAAAAAAATATAAAAGAAGTTACTAGAATAAAACAGATCCTACAGTTAGAGAATAGTCATACAATTTTTTATATACACACAATTTTTTTTAAAAAAAGTATTCAGTAGAATTTAAGCACTCTCATTTACTACAACATCTTAATAGATTTAACTAAATAATATCAATTCTTATTATGAAGTTTTGAAATGTGGGTACTACAGTACTATGCCTTTACTTTTAGTAATATAAAAGTATTTGCAAACTAAGATATCAATGTGAATAGAACAGTGAGGATAAACAAGAAAGATTTAACTAAGTAACGTTAACTTTCAAATAAGTTAAGCTACAATTTGATAAGTTTGACAAAGGATAATCATAACTGATAATTGTTATAATTTAAACAGAAAAAATAATTTTTAATACCATATATTCTTGAATGAATTTTAATACAAGTTCAAAGAAATGAAACAAAACAATAATTTTCTACTGCATAAACAATTACAAGTGAAGATTTTCATTAAGTGTGGAATAATATTTTATACGACAAATATTTAAATTTTTTTTTATCTGAAAAGGATTCACTCTGAAATAGGATTCAAGGCATAAATGGTTTTAAAATTTTTATATGAGAAAAAAAATTGCATTGCATTTATATATGATATAGCTAGAACCAAAAAAAATGGCATTGCATATGGTTCTAACACTAGTACAGACTTATAAAAGCAATAAAAAACTTATGAATACATTCTCACCTCATATATACAACAATATAATCTGAACAGCCTTGATCATTGAAAATTCCTAGCAGATCTTCCACAGTCATTTGTTGGTCAATTTTCTCAAGAACATCCATAAACTGAAGAATATAATTAAAACAAAATATTACAACTACAATTTAAATAGCTCTTGGAAGAATTAATCATTAAAAAAGTGCTCTGGAGACGATATGGTGTCATGCACCGGACACATCAAAATGCTTACATTTTCTTTTTTTGATGAAGTTCAATAACAGAAATAAAAATCTTGCAATTCTTTCCCCTCAAAAATCACTGTACATAAAATCAGGACAAGCAAAATTGCATAGCTTTTTCCTGATACTGATTGCTAAAATAATCTCTGTAACTATGCCCAGTCAAAAAGTAGAAACACTACCTTAAGAATTTTAGAAGTCGACTTGTTCTGTGAACATCATTGAAAATGGCTGTATTTCTTCCAGAACTTTGTAATGTTAATGCAAGTAGACATTTCATGTAAAACATGATGATTACTAACTTATTCCTCAGACCTGAATCAAATCAGATCCGTGAATTTGTTCACATTAAATACCTTCAAAATACACAGAAGGTCCTTACATACCAAATTAATACAATTAATCTGATGTTGCAAACTGGCTTCTGCTTTTCTTCCTTTGGTGCAAACTAGAAATGTCTTAGCAGCATGTGAAAATCTGAGGTTTTTTAAATGTCCAATAGACAGTGGAATTAAAGTACTTTGATCTTTCTCTCTCGTCACCTTTACAACTTTAAAACACCAGGACTCCCACAGAAATTGCCAGCCGAGTGCAGGTGGTTATACTATTGGCTCATTGAAAAGTGGTAACCAATAAACATAAAATCAAAGTTAAATTTTCTTATTTTAGCAAAAATTTTAGTTTTAAGTTTTACAATAAGTTTATTTTAATAAACAATATGTGTTATCGTCATGAGAAAACATTCTTTGCAAAAGTAGTTGGGTGATAATATGTATCTAACTACCACTTAATCACCCGGTGGCCCAGTGCTTCGCGCTGTCGTGCCACAGGTTCCTGGTTCGATCCTCGGGTCAGGCAAGGTTGACCCAGCCTTTCATCCCTTCAGTGGGTCGATAAATGAGTACCAAGCATGTTTGGAAACTGAACACTGGGGGTTCCTCGTTCGGCTGACCACCTGACCAGAACATCTGCTCCTGCACCCCAGAGCCCAAGGTCAAGAAAACTGAGATGGGCACAGTAGGCCTTGGTCCTCTTTGGGCTATCGCGTCACTGAGTTTAGTTTAGTTTATCTACCACTTAATCAGCTTTATAGACTCAAATTGTAAGAAAGAGTTTCGCCACACGATATCACGTCATGCGAAGAAACAATCGATGCTAAGCAATCCTCTGGATTGGTGAGTGGGCGCGAACAAAGGTCTTAGCCTCCTAGTATATATATGAAGAGTAAATTATTGTTAGAAAACCTTTATCATTAACATAACTTATGAGCTTTGTTCTTTCTTTAAACCAGCATTTCAGATTGTAACAGGAAACTAAGTTTCTACAAATGAAATTCCATACAGTATGTTTTTGAAAGCAATGACTGTCAGTCATGAGAAAGAAATACTAAAGATGCTTCTCTTCCCAATTTTCCTAAGTTTTATTTTGAGCTCTTTCTCCTTTTTCTCCCTTAATTTTTTAACATCAGATTTGGAAAATGAATGGAAAGTCTTAAGTAATCCAACCATGGAGTATAAACATATCTTTTACTCAAAAAACTTATAATATAGAAAATAATTTTAAAATTTGCTTTTGGGGTAGCATATCTCCAGATCATACTGTAAAGTTTGTTATAGAAAGATAACAACTACTATCTTTCTATTTTACAAATATATAATGCATAAAATTACTATTTTTCACAAAAAACAATATCAGGGGTCTGTCTAGGTTTTTCTGAGAGGTACCTGTTTTGTGATAATTTAGACATAATTTGTGAAAATTAAAAGTTATATTAAAAAATCAACACAAAAATATGGATTTATAGTTTCTTACTTGACACAAAAATAAAACTTTAAGAAAAAGTATTTTGTGATTTCCTAAAGCTGAATTTGTGAAAGTACCGCTAAATGGTAATAAATTTAGCCTGGACAAACCCCCGAATATCTTCTCTCAAAATAAATAATATCAAATTAAAACAATGTAGTGAAAAAAATCAGATGTTTGTAAGAAACTTACAGTGTCATGAAAGTCCTCAATTGTAAATGGTGGGAAACCAAGTGCTACTAGGTCATCTTTAGTCTTTGATGCAATCTCTTTGAATCTTTTGGTAAAAAAAAAAAAGTATATATATATATATATGTATAAATATTAGACAAAACTGATGCATAGTATGTTTAATTATCGAAATGAAGTGTAACAGATTTTATGTTATCAGATTTTATGCTTATCTTCTGTTCTTAAAAATTGTGAAATCTGAGATAACTGATGAGTTTCAAACCTCTTATACATATGATATATTAAATTTACAAATAAAATAATAAGAAGATGAAATAACACCAAAGTAAAAAATATCAAATTTTTGATTCGCAAAAATAAATTATAACGTGATCATGAACTTCGAAAACACTTGCCAAATTTAAGATGTTACATAGTTTTTGTAGAATCCAAAAATATCAGCAATTAGGTGGCAATTTAACTTACAACATTCTATTTTCTTTTTTAACCAAACTAGTTATAAATTTAAAAATAAAACAAATAAATGTTCATCTAACTAAGAAATAATAGCACCTAACTGATTTCCAAACATACAAAATCTATCCATTTTCAGAGATATATTGGTTTTAAAAAAGGATTCAATCTTAATTTAAGATAATATTATTAAAAATGGTAGAATTTTAAAAATGTGATTTTAATATATTTAAGAAACAATAAGTTACATTAAAAAAAAAATTCAAGAAAACACAACATCGCCCAAAACTTTTCAGTTTCTAACACTAACTAACTAAGTGAACAAAGAAGTACATTTGCAAAATTTATTTTTAAAAATGACAGTTCAGTTTAAAAAAGTTAAGTTCCTTTTCTAAAATCACTTTTAAAAATATGTAAGATAAGCGAAGTCTGAGAAATTAGGACAGTAAAAAAGCAAATAAATAATAGATAAAGCAAATTATGTGCTCATTAATATTCTTAGTGAATAAAATAATGTGTACTTAAAGTAATTAGCAGATTTGTGATTCTTTCTCACAAAAAATTGAAAATACCTTTTGTATTCTTGCTTGTCAGTTAGCAAACTTTCAAGATAGGCAAATGTAAAAGCTCTAAAAAAACAATTTCCATCAGGACGCATTTTTCGAATATAAGTATATCTATTTTTAAGATCCTGTGAAAAGAAAATAATAATTATAAACCTAAATTCAATGTTCAGTCTTGATAGTAAAAAGAAAATTTCTCAATGAAAAAAAACTTTGAAACTAATAATGAACACACTCATAGTAAACATTATGAATCTCAAATATTGCACCTTAGATGCAATAATTTTTTTTTTTTTAATCTTAAATAGGAAAATAATTTTTAGAAATTTTTCACGAAAATTGCAAAAATTTATATAAAATTTTTAAATGCATTATTAAAAACAATTAAAGTATTTTGTAGCATAATAATAAATATTCATGGAATTCTAATTCACTTACATTTAGTTTTTGACGATAAACAGTATCATCTTCAGCATACTCTTTTATTAGTAGTTCCAAGTCACATTTAGGTCCTATGAGTGGATTTGTTTCAGCAATCTTTAAAAACAAAAAATGAAATCAAATGCTTTTAGTGAGAAAAAAATATTTATAAGGCAATAAGTTTAATAATACCATTAAAGTAAAAAGACTTACAAAAATTTTTTTCAATAAATATACCATATAATTGCACACTCTAATAACATGAAAATACTAAGAATTTGATATTGATTTTCTGGTTGCATATCACCCTAAAAATGATAGCTCAAAAAACTTAATTTTTTAAATGTCCTATTTTAAAAATTAAAATAATTAAAAATTGGGTCATTAAGTATTTAGTCAGCTAACACAGTGAGACAGAGGCTCTTTATGGCACATTTAAATGTTACTTTATTCAATATATCAGATAACATTGTAACTATATCAAAATTTCTGCTGCTTTGAAAAAGTACCATATAAACAAAGATAGAGCAATGATAAGGGAACATTGATATTATCAGGTGTATTAATTTTTCATCCAGCCTTATTGAGAATATTTTTTTGGATAAAAAATTTAAAGTCTGCATCATATATCATTTTAACAGTCGCATAGACACTAAAACAATATGTGCATAAGCAGAAATACAATATAGAGCATAAGAGGAATCATTGATGTAATTGAACTCAAACTTAAAATTTTGTTTTAGAATATATTGTTTACATTTCTACATTGTTTATATGTCTTTTATTGTTTACATTTAAAATATTTACTTTATTGAAAATACATGAACAAGAAAGTTTAAATTGGCGCTTTGGGGACTTTAGATGGCACAAACAGATACTGATTTGGAAATATCCTTATGGACATTAATTATTATTCACTATAAAGAGACAAATTTATTCTGTAGTATGTGATTTTAATAATATTATACAATCTAAAAAATAATTAACCATTTTTGTGTCTATGTTCCAGTAAAAATTTTGTAAAATTATAAATATTACGTGGAGCTGAAAATGTTGGAAATCGCAGGTTTGAAAAACATTCTATTCTCAGAAATTTACTGACATTTAATTAACATCCCTACATTGAACTCAAAATGCAAAACCTAAATGCATTTAATTCTCTGTAACTAAGATTGAAAGTACATCACAATGCAAATTTTCATTATAATTTGCACAAATTAATTATGTTTCCTCTAAAATCGACAATTTTTTTAAAATTCTATGACTTTTGCAAAAACTGTTCAAGAAATAAGACTATTTAATTTTTTTAATTTTTCACATTAATAACAATTAGTATTTTTAAACATTTCAAAATTGATAATGTATAGTTACTGTATAACTGATGAAGCATTTAGAAAATAGATCAAATGACAAGAAAATTAGCTCAGAGATAATCTTTTCAAAAGGTGGGTTTTTCTCTCTCTTGGCTCATTAATAAATAAGGGTACTATGCCTCCCGCAGTTGCAATAAGAATACATAAGTTTAAAAAAATTAAGTTATACCTATAACTATAAAATTTACCTCTATAACTATATCATTTACGGAAGTGAGGAGTAACTCAGACTCTTGCACTGAGCAGTGAAATTTCTAAATTTGTGTCGAAAAACATGCAGAAATGCTGAGAAATTAATGCTTGATTAAAGACAAAACATAAACTAAAATAATTTCACAACGTACAATATTTTGAGCTGAAATTCTAGCCATTTGAATAAAAATATTTACAGAGTTCTTCCTAAGCGTTTTTAGAAGGGTGACCTGCCCTATCTGCCCTTGACCCCTATAAATGCACCCTCTTTATAAAAATAAATATCCATCTCTTAAAAACACTGCCTTTTTATTCATTTAAAAAAAAATAATAACTCACTGTTTAAATAATAATTGTCTGCGTTTAGAGGTTTAATTCTGATTATTAATACAAATATTTACTTTGTTGGTATTATTCTCAACTGGTTAAATTTTTTCAGGAGGTTAATTGGTTGGCTAATTGGTTAAATTTTTCTTGTTTTCAGGAGGTATATTAATGAATTTTCTAATGAAAAATATCACATCTTAATAGTAATTAATTCAAGAGAAAACTTACTTCTACTTCTTTCAAGAATCGCGATATTGGGTTTAAAATTACGTGAATATGAATCGTTATACGTACTGGATTTTAAAATCACGTGAATATGAATTGCGATACTGAGTTTTAAAATTAGTTGAATATGAATCATGGATTTTAAAATCGTGTGAATATGAATCGCGATTTTGAATATAAAAATCGCGTGAATATGAATCGTGCAGTTGGATTTTAAAATCGCGTGAATAGGAATCGCTTTGTTGGATTTTAAAAACAAGAAAATACAAATTTCGATATTGAATTTTTTAATCGTGTAAATAAGAATCACGATGCATAATGTAATTTTTAGGTCATGTGAATACGAATCGCAATGAGCAATTTTTAAATAGTGTACAAATACAAAAAATGATATCTGATATCACAAATGCGTGATAATGAATCACAATATTGGATTTAAAAATGCACTAATACGAATCGCGACATTGGATTTTAAACTCGTGTGAAAAAGTTAATTTCAAGTCCAACTATCATTCGGGCGGCTTGGGTTTCCCTAACTGGACTCCCCAAAATTTTTAGTTTTTGGAACATGGTCGGTAACTTTAAAAATTAGGAGAAAAAAGTGGATTTCCGCTTTTTTGCGGAAGTCTTTCATCCCTGCTCAAAGTGCCCTCTTCTGCGAGGAAACCCCCTGCCCTTTCGTATTCCTAGAGAGAAATTTAAAATTTATATTGTTTAAATAAATAAATAAAAAATTGAGCTAGTTTCGTACATTTATTTTTTTATTTGTACCATGTCTATGCCTAAGAGCATATACAGCTTCTTTTTTTGTGTGTGTGTTCTTACAAAATTTCTTGCCAATCTTCTGCGAATTGCAGTTCATTTTTCATAGGACAAACTTGTAACCCTAACTATAACTCAATTTTTCATGAGTTCCCCCTCTTTGCATCTTATATTTCATGCCAATCCTTCTTGATCACACAATTTTTACACTTTCCAACCTGATTAAAAAAGAAAGAAGTTGTGTACCTTTTTCTTCGAAGAATTACTGCTGTAGCAGTAAAGAAATTTTTTTTAAAAAGACCATCAGAATTTTAATTAATAAGTATTAATTGAAATAGCTCACTTTTGTAATTAAAGTAGACAGCTGAAAATAATAATATGTTGATTTTCTGACAGTTGAGGATATTTTTGCATTGTGACCTGCCATGCCAATTACAATCACTGATGCACCGAAATGATTTCAAAGTTGCAGATGTTTATTAATAAATGTGCGGATGTTTGCCCTGGGGTGGCTGAAGGGAAAATTTCCATATCATGATTTGTGGCAGAATATTCGGCAAGTCTTGGCAATTTCCAAGAGGCTACAAGAAACTTAAAAAAAAAACTTCAAACTTGGGTAAAACTTGTAGCAAACCCAGAGAAAACACATCTACATGCTACTTTTAAAATAAATTAAAATGAATAAATTAAGTTTAAAATCTATTTGGTACCTTAGCAACTGTAGTTGGGACGACAAATCACAATACAAAAATATCCCTAAATCAAGTTACACCCTTTAAGTTGGTCACCTTCTGCAGATTTTTTTCTTCTTTTTAAGTTTCTTACACACAACTGCCCTGAAGTAGCAAGACTTAGGGATTATTCTAAACTAAACTAAACTCAGTGGCGCGACAGCCCATAGAGAGCCAAGGCCTACTGCGCCCATCTCAGTTTTCCTGACCTTGGGCTCTGGGGTGCAGGAGCAGATGTTCCGGTCAGGTGGTCAGCCGAACACGGACCCCCAGTGTTTAGTTCCCAAGCATGCTTTGTACTGATTTATCGACCCACTGAAGGGATGAAAGGCTGAGTCAACCTTGTCCGGTCCGAGGATCGAACCCAGGACCTGGGGCACGGGAGCGCAAAGCGCTACCGCTCATCCACGGGGCGTCATTAGAGATTATTCTGCTGATGCAATTTTCACATGCAAAAAAATTGCATGTGAACGAAAAACTGATTGCATGAAAATATTCACTTGCAAAAAAGTTCACCAATCAGGTTCCCGTTCGTATACGAAGATGTTACATACATATATATAAAAGATGCTTTTCGCATGCGAAAAAATCTTATTTGGTTTGAATGCTCTTCAAGATTCCTCTTTAACTCATGTTATGTGTGTGACATCAAAGACAGTTAAAGAAAACTTAAACTTACTTCCCGTTCTATTTCTCTTTCTTGTGCCATAATTGCCTCATCTTGGTTAACTTCTGAATATAAAACAAATTGGTAATTAATTAAAAAAGCAGTGATGATAATAATATATAAAATTTTACAATTTCAAGTAAAATCATGTCAAAAAAATTATAAAAATTAGCAATAAAGATAATTTGGGATAATTTCAATATAATTTATTTTTAAAAACTACTGGAATAAAGCAAATCTTTCTTCAGAGTTTAACAACAACTTATAAAAGAAGTTAAAAAATGCATTCCAATAAATCAGATTTTTTTATCAGAGAATAAATCGCTACATAAATACTGAATTATTTTACTTTCGATTAAGGTTACCTTTGGTTAAATTTATAGAAACACGCTCGTTATCATCACCCATTTTACAAATAAAATCAAGAAAAATTCGCTAACATCAATAGCATTTGTTGTTGTATACACATCATTAATGCCAAAAAAAAGTTCCTCGTATGAAAAATTTCGCAATAAAATTATAAAATCTGAGAAAGAAAACATAAGAATTAATTCAAGCATTTTGAGCCTTGAAAATAAATAAGACACGTACAATCTAAACTTTTTTTAAAGAAATTAAAATATTTTTCAGCATGTTTATTAAAAATATATTGCATACTGTTTGAGAGTCTGGCATCACGTTTCTTTTAGTCAGTTTGGTTGCGTTTTGTTTGTTTCGGGTTTTATTTACTAAAGCGAAAAAGTACTAGACTGATTGAATTTAAATAAGTCTGCTATGTAAATTTTATTGATACTTTGAAAAATGTCATCTTCAAAATCTTCTGTTCTTCAGGTATCTTTGGAACATTACCTTTTTGAATATTTCAAAGTGCTACGTAATCCTTAACTGTTTGTGTTCGATGATGATTTCTCATTATGATTCTTTTTTTTTTTATTTCAGTTAAATGATGATCAAGATTCACAATCGGAGCTTCAATTCCAAGGTAAATTTGACTAAACCCTTGAAAGATATGTTTATTGTCAAATTTATAAGCTTTGAAATAAGTTGTATTAATCATTATATTTATTTTTTATTTGTATGTAATATTTTTGATAGATTTTACTCTTGGAGCCGATACGTCTGAAGTTGCAACCTTGAGCCCTAGTGGCAGTTATTCATACAAAAGTGGTTTAGATTTAGATTCACCCACTGATGAAAATGCTGATGTAAGTAAGAAATAAATTATTATGCATACTTGATTTATTTTGTTAACTCTCCATTTGTTTAATCTACAATCCCTGTCTTTACCTGTGTTAAAATAATCACCAAGTTTTGTGTAATTTCTAACTGATAAACTTATAAAATATCACATAAGAGAATCAACTCAATGTGAACCACCCACATTGGAACTTCTACATATTTTCTAAAAGAGTTCTTACGAAAAGATTAATTTACGGCTGAATAATCTTTTAATCTAATTAACTTCCGGGCAGCCATGCGCGAGAAACTAAGCGAAACATGGCAGAAGGTTATAACTCGTTGCCACCTTCGAGCAAACCTCTAGATGTGTTTTTAAAAAAATTGGCAAAGTTCAAAATTTATTTGGCGCCTTGGTAATTATAGTTGGCATGACAGATACTATACAGAAAAATTAAATCAGATTACAGAAAAATTAAAAGAAAAATTAATCTATTAAATAGTTGATTATCTATTAAGGAAATATATTAATAGTTTAACATTTGTGTTCATAAATTATAATTAAAAATAATTTGAGGAACATACTTATTGAATTTTATTAATTAGAAATATATTTTACAAATATGTCTTCTTTGTAACCTTAAATCATTAATAAATTCTTTTTGCTTTAGACACCGCAGGTGTTTTTGAAGTGTATTCTATGGTACCCAGAGTAGTCCCTTAAGAGAGCGATGAATTTTGCCCATAATTTCTATTTTTGATGTATATTCCCAAAAGGAGTACCTATCACATTTTAAATGCAAAAGCTATCAGTGTTTTACATCTTTTTGTGACTTCATATCTGTGTGAACTGCATTTTTACCTGTTTCTGGTTAATTTTTAGAAAATAATATGGTAGAAAAAATTAAAGTTAATTTCAATTTAATTGGTTGGAAGTATTTGTGGAATGATTATGGTTGAATTGTATTAACTAAGTTTCTACTAATACATTTTGTTTTTGATAGTTTTACTAATAGCAAATATAAGCACTGGCAGAGTTCTCCGTAGGAATAAAAAAAGGCAGGGTGCTCCCTCATAGAAAAAGGCACTTAGAGTTTTGAAAGGGCATTCACTTAACACTGTAAAAATTTATCAAATGTGTAATATTATGATAAAACTAAATTTGATCATCAAAAATTTTTAAAATACCTTATACTATATTACGTATGTGTGTATTTCAAAAAGTAATATACTTACTCATCGACATAAAAGAGAAAAATTTGTAGTTTATATTAAATAATTAAAGACATTTTAAAATATAATCAGTGAGCACAATTTAAGTTTTGAAAAAAATTAAGTAAGAAAATTATTAATTGATAAGCAATTTGAAAACTTTTTTATATTATTTAAACTGAAAATTGACAATAAACATTTAAAGGTGCATTTTTTTTAAATGTATTTAAAAAATAATATTAAGATTACTTAAAAAATTTATTAACTCCCATCTAAAAACGCTTAGGGAGAACACTGATATTCATATTAAATATATTATACCCCAGACATTTTATAAGACCACTACTGAGTATAAAAAAGAAAAAAGACCAGAAATAATACTGAATTTATTAGAATAGAACAGTGAAACATTTTAGTTATATAAAAAGCACTGTTTATTAATTTAGCTTTGCTAAAGCCCTTGTTTAATAGTTGTCTGTATTTTTATTAATTTGTTAATTTTTAATGATTTTATAATACATATTGTGGAAAAGTTTAGGCTTTTTCATAAATTTATGCCAGTCATCTTTAAAATAAGTATTTTTTTAAAAAGAAACTAGCTTTATGTTTCTTTTTTCCACAATTATAAATTCTTAAGAAATGAATTCTGAAGCTTTATACATAGATCATTTCTATAATGTATTATTTATGGATTATTTCTATAAACCAGCTTCTTGGAGAAGAGCCTAGAAGAGGATCATCATTTTGGCAATTCAGCTATTACCAAAGCTTTTTTGATGTTGATACTGATGAAATTATTCAAAGAGTTACATGGTCTATGATTCCATTACCTGGAAGAGCAACTTATTTAGATAGGCAAATAAGACCTAAACCTGATATGTATGGTAAGTTTAAATTAACCCTTGCATAAAGGAAGTAATAAAAACAGTTTAATATCAAAATTTACATACATAAACTGATATATGATTATTTTAGGTCCATTTTGGATTGCTACTACTCTGATTTTTAGTACTGCCATATGTGGTAACATAGCTAATTTTTTAACAAGTGAAGGGCATGAAGCTAAAAGATGGACATATGATTTTCATAAAGGTTATACCTATGTTTGATTTCTTCATAATTATATAGATTTTTTTCTTTATAATATTGCATAAGAGCTTGTTCAAACTTTTACCCATAATTTCAGTTTGAAAGTAGTTTTTATTATAAAAATAATTCCTCGGTTGTTTGTGTAAATTTTTTAGTGTGAACACATGTTGAATAAATCGCCTAGATTTATAGCTGTCTGCAAGGGCGGTATTATTTATTTGTAAGCAACTATAAAACATTTTCTAGTTGCTTTCATATAGATAATATCTCTTTAGATTGCATGTTACGTGATTGTAATGAATGTTACATGATTGTATGAATGTTACATGATTGATGGTTAACAGTAGTTATTTCAAACCCATAAAAAGTTTAATACTTCAAAGCATTAATAACCGGCAATTTAACAACTTGTGGCATAACATCAATAGCTTACATCAATATCTGATCTGTTAAGACCTAAGGTGAGCAAACACCTTGCTGAAACGTTTTTAGGTGAAAGGATTAATGGTGATCAAAAAGTTGTAGCTTAAGACATCTATCCAATAATTTGTCTTAAGTAAAAGAAGGTCGTAATTATCTTCGGTTATTAAAATCATTCTACTTGGTGTTGTTCTTAGTATGTGGATGGATAGATCATTCTTAGCATGTCTTTACATTCACTTTAAATGCTTTCATATGAACTGATTAATCGATTTGACATATGTTGTGATATACACTTTTCTCACTTTCTTTTATAACCTGAATGATGGCACTGCTATTGTTTCTTTTTTTTCCCTCTTGCAATAACACCTTTTCATTTTTTATTTGGGCCACAATTATATCAAATGCAACCTGAAATATTCAACTAGACTTCTTTATTTGTTATTTTGCTCAGTCAGTTATTTCTCATTAAATTTAAAAATTAATCATCAATAGCTAGCTAATTGAATATCTTATTTTCTTTCTTCTTTTTTTTTTCTAGTATCTCTTGCTGCAACTGCAATTTATTCTTATACATTCCTTTTACCTATACTTTTGTGGGGACTGATGTGGTATCGCCAGAGCTCTAACCGTTACTCACTCCTTGAGATTTTATGTGTTTATGGCTATTCTCTTGCAATTTATGTGCCTATATCAGTAAGTGAATTTCAAGTTTTTATTATTAAAGAAATAAAGTTCAGACAATTAGTTGCATTTAATTTAATAAAACTTATGATACTTGATTTAATTTTCTATGGAAGTAAACATTCTATAAATGTAATATCTCCTTTTAAATTACATTTGCTACAAATTACCTTATTTTCAGAATTCAAATTTAAAACAATATGAATTTAGTAAATAAGTATTTAGCTGTAAATGATAGTTCATTTTATGAAAGGTATGCAAGGATGAAAGTTTTTAAAATTTATAATGCTGAAAGTTTTTTTTTAAGTTAATAAGAAGAATTATAAGTGAATCTTTATACCTCAAAAATAAAAACAAATTCTTCTTTAAGAATCTATCCTGTCATCATTAGATAATGGAGAATAGTTTGCTCTTTAATTTAAGTATGCAATGTAACTTAGAACCTAATTTCATCTGAGTTTCTCCCTAATTCCAGGAATTTTTTTTTTAATCCATTCAATTTTTAAAAATGAAATTATGACTTAATATTTTCAGAAAAAAATTATTTTGCTTTAAGGAATACTTAAGTTATTAAGCAGTACATAATATCCAATAGAAAAACAACAAAAAGAGGACTTATTTTCTTCTACTGCTATGGCCTTATTAACACAAGTTGGGAAAATTAACTCGGTCACAGTTAGAGTTGCAGATATTTTGTATTGTTAATTATTCCTTTTTTAATTTTTTATTGTTCCATTTCACTAAATCTTATAAGTTTTTCAAAGAGACAGAAATCAGTCTATAGAATGAAAGTGTTAACCACGAGAACAAACATCCAATTAAAATCCTACAAACTCCCTTAATATTAAAACAGAATCTTAAGAATATCTTATATGATCTGGAATAAAAGTTTTTTTAAAAAACGATATTAAATATCCTAAAAATATATTCTATTGTGGTCAAAATAAGAGTTTTCCATTCAAATTTTTTTTTTTTTCATGGCAAATTCTGTAAAATATTTTCATACTTTTGATTTTTTTTTATAAAGTTATTTTATTAAATTAAAAGGTTTTAGTTTTTATCAGGAAGTGAGCATATGAATTATTTTAATTAAAAAAATTTGATAATCTATAAATTATTCTTTGATTTATAAAATATTATCAAACTGTAGTCAATGTAAGTGCTTATACAATTCAACACCATATATTCATTATTAGAACTAAAAAAACTTATTCACACTTTTAAATTAAATTTTTTATAAGTTAATAGAGTACTTTTTCTCTATTTAAAAAAGAATAGATTTTAATAATTAGTCCAATAAAATTGGTTTATATGCTAGGTGTATATATGAAAGTATTTTTGGAAAAGGGGGAAGTAACTTGAAATATATTTCCAAAAATTGCATTTAAATTAAAATTATACAGTTTGAGAATATTTTTTGCAAAAAGTTTTGAGAAAATGGAATATTAAAGATGTAAATATTGTTTCATTAATTATTTAAGTACTGTGTTAAGAAATAATACAACAAATAAGATTTGTAATTATATAATTATCAGGAAAAAAAAATTTTATACGAAGTTAATATTTTAGTCTTTGTAAAAAAAAATAAAGTTTCATCCATGAAAAACCAAAATAATACGAAGAAAATAGCTCCTACACAAGTTTCTAAATGTTTGTACAGTATTTTTTTTTTCTTGCATGCTATTTTCTATGTTAGTTTTAAAGTTATTACTTGGCTGAATACTAACTTTTTCTGACACAAACTCTGTTTGTGTTATTTCTCAACCATCTACTTATTTACTTTATGGTGCAAAAACATTTACATCCTTTTTATTTTTTCCATTTTCTCAACATTGCCTGTTTTAAAATTTATATTTAAATTGCATGTGTAGAAGGAAATCAAATTGCTCATAGTCTGTAAAAAAGAAGAAAACAATTGAAGAAATTATTTTTCTTTTTAATCATAAACTTGCTTAATATGCAATTTTTACTATTGAATTTTCATTTTTGTTATATTCTATAGCATATTGTTAACTAAGTTCAACTGTTCTAGGTACTTTGGATTATTCAGGTTGCATGGGTTCAATGGATATTAGTAATAATTGGTGCAGTACTTTCTGGATCAGTACTTCTTCAAACATTTTGGCCAATTTTCCGAGATGAAAATAAAAAAGTAAATCTTTTGCAATTGTTATATTGAGTGCCAACTATATTAAGTTACACTTCTTTTTCAACTTAATTCAAATTCATAATTTTTATATCTTTTAACAGATAGCTGCTGTTGTCTTATGTTTAATTTTGCTATTCCACACTCTTCTTGCTGTTGGATTTGTAGTAAGTATTTTATTAGGTTTACTTGTAACTAAAAAAAGCACACTTTATTTTTTGTTTTACTTTACAACACTTAAACTTTTTATTTTACTTTACAAGATTTTCAAACTTTTTACTAGTCACAGATTAAATATTGGAGGGGGGGGGGACTTTTAACCACTTGTTCTAGAAAGATGTGCTATGCACAATAAAAAGCTTTTGTCATAAAATTATTAAGGATCATGTCATGTCAACAGGCAATCATCGCATAAATGAAAAAGACATACATGTTTTATATCACAGAAATAGACAAAGTTGTTCCCATCTCTATGAGGCATCAAACACTTAATGACTTGTAATTAATTAATTGTGGTCAACTGTTTCGGGCAGCGCATCTATGACTATCATACCAGCACAAGTTATTAAGATTTCTCTCAATTAAATTTTGTTTCACATTCTTAAGATGCAATTTTTAGGATTTAAAAGATTCATTTTTCACGGTCCTCAAAATGTGAAGGGTAGTCCGCAATCTAGAAAATATAGCTCCAAAAGATTATTCAAATATATGGATGAACCATAATTTTTAGCAGTCTACTGAATGGCAAATTATTTTAAAACATGTCTATTCAAATTTAATTACATGCAAAGAATTTTTATTCTATAATAGGCTTATTGTGAAACCATGACATGCCAAATTTTTTATTTCTACACTATTTCTTTTAATAATAATCTAAAAATGTTTCAATTATAACTAAATATGTAATTTTACATGATTTGTTATGTTTGAGGTTAAGCTCCTGCTCATAATCTAAAAACTCTTATTTGTTATTTTCAATAGATAGTCATATAACAAAATTTTTTGTCAGCGAACTATCTAAAATTAGTGTACCATGAAATATTATGAAAGTTGACATAATACTTCTACCTATTGGTTAGATTTATTCACTTAATCGGTAGTAACTTTAAAATAAGTTTTATGTATTACGTTGACACTATTGCTAATTGCAGACAAAATAAGCATTGACTCAAATCTTTTAATTTTAAAAACTCCTTTCTATTCACAGAAAGGTCATTTTCAAAAAAACAGCTGTTTTTGTATTTGCAAATTAAAATTCACCCATTATACCAAATTTTTACTCTCACAGAATTTTGCTTTTTAACATATATGTATATTGAGTTATGTATAAGAATATAAGCATTTTACACAAATATTAAACACATTCAGTATTAAAAATAAAAAAACACTACTTATAAAAAAATTTAAAGTAGTTCAAATCATTATAACACATCTAATGGCATAATATTTACATTGAAATTTTATTTAATATATTTTATAGGTAAAATGTTAGTTTCTGAAATATAAAGTTTTTCGACTAAATAAACTTGCTAAAGTTATCTTTAAAAAAATTTATAGTATAGCTTACATTAGCCCCTATTCATATTATTGATGGCGCATAAAAATTATCACTTAAGATCACCCACATATTTCGTGTTTAAACCTAGATAAGTTACAATTCATTTTTACATTTATATGTACATTTTCCTTTTAGACTTACTTTTTTCAAGGCCCAAAAGAATCTGTCCATTTAAGAGCTGTGCCAAATGCTGATACAACTTCGATAACATCACCAGTTTATGTTGAAGATGAGAATAAAATAAAAATTGATGAAAAAACAGAAAAAGAACCTTTGAAGAGTTTTTCTCACATTTTAGAGAATAAAACAGAACATGAAAATAGCAATATATTGAAAGATATTTATGAAGCTGAAATACACAAAGAAAATTCTATTCCTCAGGCAAAAAATACTAGTCATCTGGGAGTTACCAAAATAAGCTCACCTATTTAGAACGCTTTTGAATAAATGAACAAAATTTGTTTTATTATTTTATTTTGTTTGTAACGTTTGTGATAATAAATATACATTTAATACTTTAGATTCCTTCTGTTCTTTTTGCTTTCTACTTAAATTTAAAAAAATTGACATTCCAGTAATAAATATTTGGTTTGTTGCACATATAAGCAAGTCAGCATTTTAATCAAATATACTTGTTAGAGACGTAAAAGTATTAGCAATACTTCTACTTTCCTATATCTCAACAACTGAAAATCCTCGGTGATTTATTCTATCTTCTATTCCACAAATCGGGTTTCTTTAGTACAGCAATAAAAAAAATGAGCACTTAAATAAGTACAAGTTCAATCACGCTATCGATCGAAAGTAGCATTGCTACCTGGAAGGGACATTTTGTGTATTGTCGTTAATATGACTTTGAGGACAAATCTCGTTTTCGTATGTAATCTGGACTTATTTTATTTCAGTAAATGTTCAAAGAATAAAAATATTACCTATTACATATCAGTATTAAGTTTAATTTCCATGATTTCGACTCTAATAGAAATTACTACAAAATTGCATGAAATGTAAATAGTGTTTTATTATTTTGCTCAATTTTAATTATTACAACAAATATTTCTTTAGTCGTACGTCTTATACATTATAAACATTTGTAACAAAACAAGTTTTTATAAGCCACAATACGTAAGTAATACAGATACTGTGACTAGGCAGTATTTGTATATATATCATCTATCATTGTACAATCATTCTTTTTCTTAAAGTTTTTAAAATAATACGCCAATAAACAAATTTGTAAATTTATGTAGTTATATATTTTGAGACTATAATGAAATTGATAATAAATTTATTAAATAGATATAAAAGAAAATTAAAATCTAACATGTTGAATGTGAAAACGAAATCTGTTGCGAATACACATCATCTTCTTCCAACATATAGTATAATGGTCAATATACCTTGATTAATAGCATAATCCAGCCATTTTGAAATTTAATCGCTCACATGAGGAAAGGCTTATTTATTATTTTACTAAATAAATTTTAAAAAAATTTGACAGAATTCTGCATTAATCTTTTACCACCTACAAGTTTTAACGATTCTTTTGCTATAAAAAAAGGTTCTAAGTTTTAAAATTTTTATTTGTTTATGAGCAACCTAAATATTTTTTAAGTTTTTATTTCTCTGTAGTGCTGTACTAATCAACTTGATCTTAACCGCCTACTCTACAAATTTCAAGGCCATATAGAATTAAGCAACAGTAATATTGAACTGAATTTATTAAAAAAGCTGTATTTTGTATCTCACTAAATATAAATAAATAAAATTTCAAAAAATATACGTATTACATTTTACACACATAGCAGCTTTCACACTCTTTATATTTAATTCCATTTCTTAAATGTTTAATTTTCCTTTTATTTGTATATATCACTTACCTTGGGTCACTGAAATTCCATTAATATTTTTTTATGTTAAACATTCAATTAAAAAAATATGTTTATATTAAAGATGTGCATAGATTACCCTGTTTTTTCACTTTACCATAGAAAGTTTTTCTTTTAAAACTTCCAGAAAGAAATATTTTTCCAATTTATAGATTATTGTTATTATTCATGTATATAGTCTTCTTACTTGATACTGGAAAAAAGGGTGACACTTTTAAAATCTCTAGAAATTCTGATTTTTTTTTAAACATTAAATTATTATAAAACATTAATTATTAGTATTATTTCCCTTCCGTATATATTTTATGCTACCTGCTTTCCTGTGTAATTAATAATATTATATTCATTTTTAGTTGTGTTTAAATTGTGTTGTTCACTTAAATTGTGTTTGTTAAGAAATTATATAAATTTTTAAAAAAATATGAAGCTTTGATATACATTTATATACCTTGCAAATATACCAATAAATTTTAAAAGAAAACTTATTCACAATATGTGTAAAAATAATTTATTTCCCACTGTCTTGCTGCTTATAGCTTAGCTTTCTATGTCATACAAGGCCATAACAATTTTTCAAATAAACATATCAATGCTTGATGAAAGACGTTTTTTTAACAAACTAATTACCATATTGTTATTTGCATGCCAAAATTTAAATCTATTAGCTGATAATTAATCCATCGAAATAAATTCACATAATTAGATGTTGGCAAGAGAAAAATTCAAGAAAGCCTTTAAAAACAATTAACAAGTTTAATAACATTCTCTTCTTTCTTTTTTTAAGTTAAAATTATAAAAAAACAAGCAAATCTTAACATGTATTTACAGCAGCAAAGCAACCATTTCTAAAATACCCAAGAGTAATTAGGAAAAAAACTTTCAGTGCATTATCTTCACTTCAATTAAATTATAACTCTCCAAACATTAATATCCATTAAAACAGACAACAGCCACAAATCTCAATCTTTTTTGGTTCAATTAATGTAAATTATATATTCAAAAGAAATTTGGATACATAAAAAATAATTATAAAGCACTTATATTAATATATGTAAGACATGCAGAGCCTTACAATGTAAAAACTTTTCATAATATTTGAAGAAAAATATAAATAATTAAATCTACAATCTTCTATAATTAAAGCATAAAAGCAAAACCCTATAATAATCTAAGCATATATGAGGTTAAAAAAAACTTGTTCAAAATAAATTTTGCCCACAATTACGGGCAAAACATGTAATGAAATAAGGCTCTTAAATATGTTTTATAAACAGTGTTTTAATATGCATATGCTACCAACATACAGCTTATATTCAGTTTTTAAGCAAAAAAAAATTAAATTCTAGCTTTAATGTAGTTTAATAAAAAAAAATTAAAAATCCAGAAAACTTACTAGAAAAATAACAATTTTATAAATAATTAAAAATTTATATGGAACCTTTTTTAACCTAATATTTTTATTAAAAAAATGGATTAGATTAAAAGTTTAAGCAGCACAAAAGGCAAAATCCACTGTACTACAACGAACTTTAAAACAACATTAGGTGGAGGCATCAAAGAATATATAAAATAAATCAGGAGAACAAGAAAAAAAATGGGATTATTAAGCCTTAAGCAGACAAATAACTCTGATAAAGATTTAAAAAATTTCACTATATTGTGTTGATATTTGAATAAATACAAATCACTAAATGGAAGATTGTACTAATACTTGAATGAATAAATAACAAACTTCCAAAGTAACTGTTTAGTTCTTATAAATATGCTTTTACAATATATTGTCAAAATCATGGTTACAATTACAAAATGTATTCATATATTTACAAACATTATTTACAAGATAAGATATTTAATAAAATATATATTTTAGTATTAAATTCATATTTATGGCCATCAAAATAGAGCAAGTCTTAACGCAAATCTGGAGTATCTTGAATAGTCTTTTTTATACGCAGTAAGATTGTTGTATACCACTGATCCAGACGAGATATAGAATCAAAATTTTTAACGGCATCGGTGAAGCCATCGACATCCTGTTCTTCCCATTTTTCAATGAGTTCCTTTAAATATATAATTAAACAATTAATTTGAAACCTTTTTTATTTAATAAAAATATACATATGCAAAACATCTACAAGTCTTTAAATGTAGTTATTTTAAATTTCATCCATAAATACACAATCTTTTAAGTGTTTTATTTTATAACATTTGATCATAATAATTCCAAACATTCATAAATATATATATTGACATTTTTCGTTTCACATATGTTTATAAAAAATAAAAAACTTAAACTATAAAAAGTAACAAAAATTATTAACCACTAAGTTTCAACTTAGAAAACTTAAGATTCGCTAAGGAATAAAAATTTATAGAACTCTGTAGAAAACTGACTAGTAAAATTCTTTTAGAAAGATTTTTAAAGGGTTCAAATACCTGGCAAAATCAAAGTTTTTGTCAAAGATTTAATTTTATTTCCAGTCAATTCTTCATATTTTAAAATTTTCATTTATTAAGGTTAGATGACCACTAGTTTTCATAATTCAATTCTATGCAGGTTCTAAATTAATTTCAATTAGCATAAAGAAAAACTTTGAATTAATAAAAATAAAATTTAAAAATTTTTTTTTTTAAAAAATCAAAGTATTAATTTTAATCTATGAATCTTCAATGACAATAAAAAAAGTAAAAATAATTACTAATGAAATTTAGGGTCCTAACTGATCAATTTTTGCAAATAACATTAATGTAACATATAACATTAATGTATAACAATGTATAATAACATAATGTAACCCTTTCAAAAACAATCAAAATTTTACACATAGCAGTTGAATAAAGAATATTTTTGAGAAATAAACAATGGCTATCATATAGTTAGCAATTTAATAATAATGATACAAAGATATTAAAAATAATTATACAAAGAATTGCCAAAATATTAGAAGTCTAATAAAGTTATAAAAAACAAGCCATCTTTATTTCCAAAGGTAAATATTTATGTAAATAAAAATCAATAAATAAAAAAAACAATCAATTTTTTGTGTATATTATAAAAAAAGGACTATGAATTTATTTTTACTATTAGTCTACATAAAAATAGAATTTTTATGTATAGATAAAATGTCTTTTTTTTAAACATACACTGAGACTTCAAGTATAGTGCATAAAAAATTGAAAACAAAACTAAAAAAATAATTATGCAATAGAATAATATACACAAGTAAAAATTGAAAATAAAAACTTAAAATATATTTATTGGAGTTAAAAAGAAAAACTATATTAAATAAAATCAGAATCTGGCTTTTAACAAAGTGATTTTTCAATAAAATGTGCTTGCAGTATATTAAATAGATTGAAACGTCTGACTAGAGACCCACCCAAATAATAGATATTTCCTCCAGCTGTATTAACTTTCAATGTATTTGTCCTTGAAACAGCTATTGCAATCCACTAACTTCCTCATAATAGATACTTCAAACAAAAGGCAAAAACTGCATTACAAAATCATCAGAATACTTTAAACAAACTAAAAAAATAATTGTGATTCCAATTGCTTAAAGATTTGTAGCTGTATCACAATCTGTCTTATTCAAACAATAAAACAGTTTGCAAGTAAGGTAGGAACAAATCATTGTTCAGCTAAAAAGATTATTGAATAGAACAGTGCTTTTAGTCATCTGAATCTATTAAACAGACAGACAATAAAATTGAAATGAAGCTATTGTAAGGTTTTATACATGCATTGATTAATTTAGTTTAGAAACCCATAATCTTACAACTTTTTAATGAATGTTTTGTGTGGGTCTGTTTATTTATTCATGTATTTATCTACTATAGTGTTCGAATTAATTGGGACAAGCAAGATTTTCTCATTCGAGTTGGTATGGGATTGCCAGTGATGTCCCGAACCACTTCAAACCAGTTATATCTGCCTTGAGTTGCGGTGACGGATAGACCTTCACTATAATTTACCAGTCTGACTGGTTTTTGTGTATTTGTAGTTCAGTTGTGAGCATTTCAGTGTGGAAACTGGTGGTTATAATTTTGAGTTTAGTCTAACACAAGTTATGTGCTTATAAAAAATGGATATTAGTCCAAGGAAGCGCTCTAAAATTATCGCTCTTAATGAACACACTTCTATGACTGTAAGAGACATCGCTACAGCAGTTGGTATAGGGAAATCTAGTGTTTCCAGAATTCTTCGAACATTTCAAGATTCCGGCTCATCCTCTCCAAAAAGAAAAGGAAAATGTGGACGCAAACGGAAAACTACTCCAAGAACTGATAAAAGTCTAATAGGAAATAGTAAAATTAATCCAAGAAAGACGAGCACAGACCTCCGAAGGAATTTATTGGATTGTGGTGTTGATGTGAGTACTTCAACTGTACGAAAAAGGCTTCTAGAAGTTGGACGTAAGGCAAGAAGACCATGAAAAAACAATTTCTAACTCAGAAAATGATGAAGAAACGTTTAGCATGGGCCAGAAAATACCAAAAATGGACTGTAAATGACAGGAAGAAAGTGGTTTTCAGTGATGAAACGCCTTTATTTGTGCAGGGATACAAATCAAGTGTAGTTAGACGATGTGAAGGTGAAAGTCTGAGACCAGATCATATCCAACAGACTGTAAAACACCCTTCTAAACAAATGTTTTGGGGTTTCTTCACAACAAATAGCACTGGAAGCTTAGTGCCTCTAAAAGGCATGATGAATTCAGCCAAATACATCGATATATTGCATAGTAGGATTGTTCCATTCATGGAAACATTCGACGGAACATTTCAACATGATTCGGCACCTTGTCACAATTCCAAACTGGTCCAGAATTTTATGCGAGAAAATAAAATAAAAGTGCTTGATTGGCCTGGTAATTCACCAGACCTAAATCCCATTGAGAGCCTGTGGCATATTCTAAAGAATCGCTTAGCCAAGATGAATTGCACGACAGCAGAACAAATGATAAAAAGTGCTATTCAAGTATGGTTCCACGACGATGAAGTCAAGAACATGTGCGCTACACTAGTGGAATCAATGCCAAAACGTGTTCTTGAAGTCATATCTGCTAAAGGAGGACATACTTTATATTAATACAGACACGTATCAATGTTACTTAAGGTATGTAATGATTAAAAGCTAAAGTTTCAATAAATCACTTTTTTTTCATTTGTCCCAATTAATTCGAACAGTATAGTATATACATATATGGCAAGTATTTTATATTATATACAATGAAAAGAATCTTTATCAATTTTGGCAAAAACCTAAGATTTTTTTTAAAAAAACTCAAAACTGTCTGTTTTTCTGGGAATTTTTAATAAGGACTAGGAGTATTTTTAAAATTAAAATTTATTTCTTCAAAAAAATTGGGTTTCTTAAGAAAAAAATGGAGTTTCTTTCCACAGAAAACACCACAAATGCTTTATTTGTAGAAAGATACACACAGCCGCCTTTAGATCATAAGTGTATATAATAGTATGTGTTCTTTAGCAATATTTTGACAAAATTACAAAATAGACTAGGAACTAAGAAAGTGGGAAAACTGGTGATAATTCAATGTTTCCTACAAAAAAAAAGAGAGAGACAGACTGAAGACTGGTAGTTAGTAGATAACCTTTGGTTATTTAAATAAATTGTCCTTTATACAATGTAGCTTTAATTTTAAAAAAATCTTTACAAAAATAATTCAATTTTAATAGGGAAGAATATGAAGAAACTAAAATGGGGGGACAAGAGTATGGATTTTTCTTTAAAAGAAAAAATTTTAAAAAACACACAACTAGCCAACTTTTGAACTTTATAATGTTTTATTCTTGTTAATTATATGCAAAATATTACTGTCGAAATACTAATATATATATATATTGATAAATAAAAATATTTTACAAACCTTAAGCAGTTTACATTCACGAGAATCCGAAAAAGAAGGACTCATATCTTCATACTTAGCTAAAGCATGCTAGAAAGGAAGAAACACTTATTTGAAACAAACCGAAGAGTGAAATTAAAATAAAGATAGTTAAATAAAGTAAATTAGAGAAATGCATTTTATAATTTTAATAACATTTCTAAAAAATATAAATTAAGAGTTTATTTATGCTCCTCAAACTCTCTTTCTCCAAGCTTTTGCAACTTTAAATAACTTTTCTTGGTGACACATTTAATGAAAATAATATTTAAAACCAGTTCTGTTACTATAACAAATTTGATACATTTAGTTTACACTAATTACTTTGTTTAACAAACATATTGCAATTTCATGCATTAAATGAAACAATTATTTTCTGGTTACCATAAAAAAAAAAAATACACATGCTTCATGTTTTTTATCAAATCGATTATAACTTTAATGCAAAAAAATATTATCCAATATTGCTTTTCACTTTAAATATTTATTTTTTGTTAATTATTTAGATTGAATAAGTTTAAGGGTCATAGTATTATAAACAAATTTGTTTAAAAAGGACACATAACTGATTCATACTTTATGCTTTTAAACATCTCTTCATATACTTGGAAATACCTAGTATAAAATGTTGCTTTTTAGGTAATATTACTAGATTATTTAATGATAACTAAACGAAAAAAAAAACACTTTGTAATAAACTTAATTTAAAAAAATAACCAAAACCTAAAATTTAATAGCAAAATATAATATTTTAATGCAAAATAGAGCATATATGTTTTTTAGAGAGTTTTTTTTTAAGTTTTTTATTTAAAAAAAATTTTTAGATTTTTTTTCTTATAATTTAATAAAAACTATTTATAGCAACAAATATAACATTTTATTAAATACCTGTGCATTTAAAAGATCTACACACAAATGACACAAGCCAGCTCGGAAAAAATATTCTTTTGCACTATATTTCAATAAAGAACTTTCAAGTGAGGATGCTGCAATCTACAGTAGAAAATTAAAGGAAATATGTAACTAAATGTAAAGTTAAAACATAACATCATTTTACAATTTTTTTTTACAAAAACTTATATGAACCTGTTCATAGATTTCGATAGCTTTTTCATATTGTTCCAATTGGGCACAATATTTTGCAACACTTAAAAGGCACTTGTTGGCTGAGCTATAAGATAAAAATTAAGAAGTTATAAGATTGTAATTTTCAGCAACTAATACATTTTAATACATAGATTTTAATACAAAAATGGCATACAAAATTAAATTTCACATTAAAACTTCAATATTTATGTAAGGGAATGATAATAAATCATAAATTTTAAAGATCTTACAAAATTTATTAATAATTCCTTATATTATTTAAGAACGACTTAATACTTTCAACTAAAATAGTGAATATTATTTAATTATTACAAACTAATCGCTAAGTATGTAAAATTATAATTATTTTAAATTCAAACAGAATATTCTCATGTACTGTTTTGACAAGAGAGGCGTTTTTTCTGTTTGATTAATATTGAAGAGTAAATTAAATTTAGACAAAATATTAAAAAAATTATTCTCAACAGAACAAGTCTATTTATTATTTAAATACATTTGCTGCATAATTATTAAGTTTTAAATAAAAATGAAATTCAATGGGGCATAATGAAAATATGTATTTATTGATAGTAAAACAATAGAAACATAATTTAATTCTCTCTCTTTTTCTTGAACATCAATCAATCATTTACATGTGTCCCTCTTATCTTAGTCTCTGAATAAAATCTTCCTCATCAAAAAAATCAAGACTTTTCAAATTTCACAATCTTAAGAATATACATACATGTATGCATATCAAATAATTTAAACCATGATATAAAATTTTAATAATGTAATTTAAAGCAATCTCTTTTAACATATTCAAAAAAATCCTAGCTTTATTCAAATGTGAAGAACCCGATTTGATTATAAAGGCTGTATTTACTTTTAAAAATTTCATATGTACAATTTTCTATATGATATTATATTTTAGCACAGGAATTTCCACCATGTAGTAAAACAGGGAAATTATTTAACTAATCATTTTTATTACTATAGATAAAGAGTTAAAACAGAAAGTTTTAAATTGGAAAGACATTTTAACAAATAAGATAAAAATTTGAATTTAAATTGAGGTATTTCTTATAATAGCTGTTTAATTATATATTTAAATTTAAGATATTAATAGAAATTAATTCATATACCCAAAGCATAAATCTTTTTCATAAAATGATAGATCAATCAGAAAAAAACTAACCAATTTGAATAAAATGCATTTGTTATAAACAATTTCATCAATGAAAAAAATGGGCTAATCATTACTCATATATGGTGAAGAATGATTCATACCTGTTAGATTCTTCTCCTCTATAATAATCAGCAGCTTGTTCATAACAACTGACAGCCTAAGAATAAGTAATTGATGCTGATTATTTGAGTAATTAAAGATATATATATACAAACACAAATAAAAGATACTAATGAGACCAATAGTTTTATATGGCAGCGAAAAAAAGTTATGACGTTCGAGAGGAAAATATTAAGAAAACTTTTTGTGCAGTAAGAGAAAACGAAACCTAAGGTATTCATTACAATCCTGAATTACAATCAAAATATAAAGAACCTGAGTGATCAAGGTTTCTCAAATAAGGCGGCTGAGACATGTATTTCGACATAGCGATGAAAATTCTGTTTAAAAAATAACCTGCCAGAGGGAAAAAGAGGAAGACCTGGAACATGATAGATACAGTTGAGAAGTGGACTAGGTTGGAAGTGGATAGATACAGTTGACTAGGAAGTCAACAGATGGAGAAATATAGCATCGAATAGATCTAGATGGAGTAAACTGACTGATAGTTTGGTTAGGACACAGATCAAAAGTTAGGGTCTCTTAATATCATTTTAACTTTCTGCCTATGATTTGATATAGTCCAGGAACTAAATGTGTCAATATGAAATATTTCGCACTCATTTATAAAACTAGCTGCTCATTTATAAAACTAGATAATTATTAGCAAGGGTATTTAAATATCTCTAGCAATATTAGAAAAAAAATATGTATGTTTTAAAAAAGAACATTCAAGATGCATTTAATTTCAGTTACAAATAAGATAAAACAAATAAAATTCTTACTTTATTTATATCATTAACTTCATAGAGTTCAGCCATGCTAACTAAATGTTTGGCAGCAATGGTAAAACGCCCCTAATGTAAAAGAAGCAAACATGATATAAATCATTCATTCTAAATTAATTAGAAAAATAAAAAAATCTTTTACAGCAAATATATATTTTGTAAATCCAGGAAATTAAAATATTAAATCTTCAAAAATCTTAATGAAAAAACAATTATACAAATAAATTGGATCACTAAAAAATTTCACCAATAGTACTCATTTTATTTCAATAAAATTCTTTATTATCATGCAAAGCCAATGGAAAACCTTAGGTATATAGTAAATGATTTTAAAAGTATATAAAGATGGTTGCTGAAAGGTGGAATAAAGTAGTTCTCAGGCGCCAGGCCATTCGTAAATTATATTTATTAGAGCATAATCATGTAGAGTTAGCATTCAAGGGACATAAAATTGAAGTGCATCTGAATAAAAATTTGGGAAACACTTGCAAGACTTTTTGTTCAGGGAGATTATTAAAAAAATAATAATAAACTTTCCTGAAGATAATTAAAATAATATTAAATTTTCCTAAAGATAATTAAAAAAATAATTATCTGACTAGATTTAGTTCAGTTTTGTAAGTATTTTAGCTAATTAGAAGAAAAGTCCTTTATCTTCAATTTTAAACTATATTAATCTCCAATTTTAATGTTGTTCTCTTAATGTAAGTTAATTATCATACAAAATTATGAGCATAGAATAAAAAAAATCAATTAAGGAATGAAGCATTCAAACATACTTATACGGAATATAAAATTATCTAATCTAACAAGTTTTAAAAAAATTATTAAAAGGAAACTTTTTTAATACAAAAATATTAAATACAATCAAGCCTCATTTGCTTTAATTGAATTATTACAATTTTTTTTACATTACATTATTATTTATATAGAAATGTTATTGATGTAGAAATGTTGTAATGTTGTTAATGAATTACTGATGTTCTAGGACTATTAAAATATCTAGTCTAAGTAATAGAACTGAAGTTTTATTACTTAGATTTGAAACTCAAGATATTTGATATATAGAGGTGTGACAGCATATTAATTTCATAAATTTAAGTAATTGAAGTTATGTAATATATTCACCATATCAGTATATAATTCCACAGCTTTCATTAGACAACTAATAGCCTCTGAAATTAAATAAAAATAAAATTATAATTAGAAATTCAAATAACTGAAATATATTTGATTATTATTATCATAGCATAAATAATACAGTTAAAATTTTCGATCCTTTCTAAATCAAGAGCTTTTGTTATGCATATTTACCAAAAATCACAAACAGCTTAAGATACAATTTCATTGAATAAATAAAAAAAAGTTAAATCTCAACTAAAAACTTTAAGAATTTTTTTACACAATACATTTTAACTAATTAAAAAACAAACATTTGAAGCAAAAAATTTCCCCAACCAATAAAAATAAATCTGATTGAAACTAATTTTAACACAAAAAAAAACTAATCTCATTAATTATTGCATCTAATACTTTTGAAGAAACAAACAAATTACATAACACACAAAATGATGAACTATCTTATAATTATTTAACAGTACAGTACAGACTTAAGGCAGTCTCTGTTTAACGCTTACAAAAATTCAACTTCTTTGTGAAAATTATTTAGAAATTTATTTGAAAAAATAAAGAAATTATGTATATGAATATATGATAAATTTAAATAAACTTTCAATGCTGGAAATGAAACACAATATTTATGATTAATTTAAATAATCCAGCATAACAAAAATTCACAATAAAGCTATAATAGAAATTTACCAACTTTAAAAAATTATAACAATAAACAAAATCTTAACTAAATAAAATAAGAATGATATTTATATTTTCCATCAATTTAGAACTCATAAAAAACATCAATTTAGAACTCATAAAAAACATCAATTTAGAACTCACAGAACTCAACAAACTGAAAACTATATTAAACAAATCCAAAACTCTATTTAATTCTTATATGTTACCTTAATTTACAAAGAATGAATGACATTGTCAAGCTACAATACAGTAAAGTTAGCACAAACAATGTATAAAAACACTAATATAATTAGCAGAAACAGGTGATTGTTTCAAAACTCCAGCATAGATTTAACAAATCTCAGATATATAGATTTAACGCTTTTTTCTAAATTAGAAAAGTCCTCTAATGTACAGGTGCACAACCTGTGACCTGCCATCTGCTAATATGCGATCCGTGATAGAAGCTTCTAAACACAAAGAAAAAAATTCGAAAACAGAAAAAAAAAACTCTAAAATTCTAAGTTGCACTTATGAGTCATTTCTTAATGTGTTACATTTTCACTGATTCTAGTAAATCCATGTAGAACTGATTCTAATAAATAAATGTTGTTTCTCAATTGCTTTTTCGGCGGTTATTATGCGGTTTTCTGCTTATAGTTTAAAAAATATGATATTAATACACGAATTTTAAATTTCAGTTACAATTTTTTGACTAGCTTTATTTGTACTGATTTCACCATAAATCTAAGTAACATTTCAATCGTTATTTCAGAAATTACAACAAACAATATCCATTTGGTTTTTTTAAAACAATATTCTGACTCAGTTATGAATCGCCCTTTTAATTCACTTTTCGATGTGATTTATTTCTGATGATTTCATCGTAAATCACAAGTTATTTGGCAGTTATTATGTCATATTTTCACGCTACAACTTTCCACATGATTTGGAAATCTGGTATTTTTACATCAATATTATTATGACACGCAAGTTTTAAATAGCACATTTAAATAATCACTTTTTGCCGCATTTTATTTGTGTGCTAATTTAAGCTTTTTTGGCAGTGAAAACATCGTATTTTAACATAGTTTTAAAAACCGTGATATTTTCAATGAGATGCTATGAATTTTGAAGTTGAATCGTACCATTATATAATAATTTTTTTTACGCATTATGTGCCGATGTTATTGTAAATCTAAATGATTTTTTAAGCAGTTATTTCTGCTTTACATTGTGATTTCAAAAATCTCTTATTTTTATTCTGATATTTTTATGACACACGGTTTTTAAATTTCCAATTTAATTTAAATAATTACTTTTTTACACATTTTTTTTTGTCGATCTCATCGGAAATTTCAGTGATTTTTTTCCCTTTGCAATTATTTCTTTTTATTTTACAACCATTTTTTGGCAGTTATTACTATGCATTCCCACATAGTTTTAAAATTTACAATACTTTTATTCAACATTCGAATTTGAAATCGTACATTTGGCATATGTTTTTTTTTTTTTTTTTCAAAAAAGAAAAAGCTAAAGAAAAATAAAAAGCTCTCTTAATTTTTAAAATGAAAATCTAATGCGGAAAATCTCAATTTAACTTTCTCATATAACTTTTTAAAATAAAGTTCATTAAAAATGTTGATAAAAAACATTGATAAAAAAAAGTTAATTTAAAAGAAAAAAAATTGTTCTTAGACATCAGTAACATAGAAATAATCACAGTTTTCTATGTTACTGATATATAAACAGTCTGAAACGTTCTGCTAAAATGCTGCGCTATAACAAAAACATCAAAAAAGAAGAAAAAATTTTTAAAAAAACTATTTATCTCAGTTATTAGAACTAAAAGTGAGAAGAACTAAAAAAATCACAAAATTAATGCGGCACTTTGTTAATCTATCCGTTGCGCAAGTGGCCCTTCTCTCAAAAAGGTTGTGCATCCCTACAATACCTGATGTTTGTGCTTTTATACAATGTATTCTAATGAATTATCAACTTAAACATATTTATTTTAAATGATCAAATTATTTACCTTGAGGGTCAGTTTTCTTGAAACAATTTGCAGCATCAACAAAAGATGAAGCTGCATCATGTCTGCTGCCCGATTTGATATGTAACTCAGCTGCTTCACAATAGGCAGTTCCAGCAGCTATGTAAGTAAGTAATAAAAATATATCCAAATGAACATAAGTATCCAAAAATAAAATTACATTTAATATTAAATAAAAATCAAAAAATTATACCAGTCCATTTCTTAGCCATTTTAAAAGCATTTGCAGCTTGGTGATACATGTCACAGGCTTCCTCAACTTTAGATGACCCCCTATTTATAAAGCCAAAATTTAGAAAACTAAAATTTTATTCATAAAAATTTTACAAATTAACAGAGTTAATGCTCAGGTATTATTTGAAGCAAAAAGTTAATGAAAGATATTTTTACCTTTTTACTAAAGCAATTTACTAACTTTTATGTAAGAAAATCTCAAGAATTTCATAATCACACTCCTTTTTAAAATTCTTACACTGTTTTTATCTAAGCAGGAATGGAGACAAATACATTTATTATGCAAGAGAGAAAAAACACCACTTCCTTGTCCCAAACAAATAGTGAAATTGGCAAGAAAAATACGAAACTTAGTGTTCTGCATCAGCAAGAAATCTTTTGACCGTGCCAAATTTTAAAATTGGGTTACAAGTAAAAAAGAAATTTCTTTTAACTAGACACCTAAAATGATAAACGAAGTGTTCAAATTTATTAATCTTATAAAACTATTTTGTCTTATGCTTTTTCTTTCTTTCTTTTTTGATTTTAGCTTTTTTGCTCATGAACTTTTGAACTCAGCATAAATCCTACAAAATAATAATGAAGCGATGCAAGTTCCTTTAATTAACCTACAACTGTCCTACTTAAAAAAAGATCATTTTTGATTTTAAAAAATTGAAAAGATAGAAGAAAAAAAACCACCGAAAATAAAAAAGGTAAAAGGAGTTAAATCAAACAAATATCTTGTAATCCAATACATGTACAGCACATTATACCAAAACACTGAATTTCAAATCCTAATTCGTTATAAATTATGATAATGATTATCTACGTTAAAGGCAAAACTTACTAAGTTTTCTTGAGAACAAAGGAGGAAGAACTTAAAACTTGAGAACAAGGATAGAAATCCTTGAGAAATAAAGCTGTTAGCTAGCAGCAGATAATCATAAAGAATCGTGTTTTGAATATAGCCTAAACATTTTAATTGAAGATGTATTAAGTCAATAGGTCACACTTTCAGCTAAGGAAATACAAACATTTACAATGAACGAAGGAATGAGAAGTGTCTGCAAGAGGAGTTAGTAAGATTAATTCAAGAAAATATTACCTCTAAATATTGCAATTACTGAGAGGTCTGCCTAATTCTTGTGAATATTTAATGTATCCTACACACTGTGACTTTTCTGGAGGTAGTTACATACTTTGAATCGACCCTCTTCTATGACCTTTTCCTTTGTTTATCAAATACCACAGCCTAAGTCTTGTCAGATTTTAACGATAAGTTAACCATCCTATAATTTTAGTTTTACACATGGTTAAAAGCAGGGGATATTTCCATATCGTGATCTGTCGCGCCTACTGCAATCGCCAAAGTACCAAATAGATTTTAAACTTGCAATTTTTTTTTAAAAAAAACATGTAGATGTTTGGTGGCTATGATTTATACATTTAGAGTTAGTCCCTTTCTGGGATGTTTATTGCCTTTTTTCTCGTGGCTGCAGACCAGGAAGTTGCCAAGACTTGGCGATTATTCTCTCACAGATCACGATACAGAAATTTTCCCTTTAAATGTACTTGTAGGAAAATTATAGGTAAATGCAAATGAAGGTTATATTTGCATTCTACTGAAACAATTCCCAAAATGCAGCTCCCCCATTTAAACATAAAATGCACAAATTTAAAAGAAACTTTAATACATCTCAAGCATTACTTTTTAGATCGTAAACAACCACCTTCGTCCAAATTATTCATTCAAGTATGGAAAATATGCAACTTTTAGTATTATTTTAAAAAGCCTGTTATATTCGTTACTTTACATCTTATTGAACAAATTGAAATAATTGATGAATTTAATTATTAAAAAGTGATCTTACCCAAAAAGAGAACCAAAAAATCCCTGCGCAGATTTTAACTTCTTTTCTGCTTCGCCTACAAGAGCGATTCCTCGTTTTTCATTATCTGCCATTATATTCTATGAAAGTTTAAATAAGTGAAACCCAAATTAAAATTATTCGAAATTTCTCTTCTTAAACTATTTACTTCATTGCTATCTTAAAAATTTAGAAATATCTCCCCTTGGGTTGCTAAACGGTAAGGCAATTTGTTTTGATCAACATATCATAATCATATATGATATAAGTTGAAGTAAGTCCTGAATGGAACGAAAACTTCCGGTGACGTTCCAAGAAATGAGCTACGTACAGTTAAATTAGCCCTTTCTTAACGAAAGTCTTGCTCCTAACACTAACAAAATATTTTTGCTGCATTCAATTCGGGCATCGCTTCTATCTCACGGCATCGATAGGAGGAGCGACTATCGCATGCAGCGAAAATGCTCCCATTTCCCATTTTTTTTGTTTCCCTTTTCCTTTTGCTGTTGTTAATTTACGTCGCACTAGAGCTGCACAATGGGCTATTGGCGACGGTCTGGGAAACATCCCGGAGGATGAACCGAAGACATGCCATCACAATTTTGATCCTCTGCGGAGGGGATGGCACCCCCGCTTCGGTAGTCCGACGATCTGCGCGTAAAGTCGAGCACTTTACGGTAGCACAGTTTAACGAGGACCAATACCGCACACCCTCGGTCACTACGCAGACTGATCCAAGTGGCCACCCACCCGCACACTGACCGTAGCCAGTGTTGCTTGACTTCGGCGATCTGCTGGGAACCATGTCTTAACAATCTGTCCACTGCGGGACTTTCCATTTGCATTGGACCATTTTTGCAGCACGCAATTCGTTCATCTTGCATTTAGTTAAGTTAGCACAGAGCAGTAATTTTTAAGCAACAAACGATTACTGTCATATTTATCTAGTCCCGCAGTGGACTGATCGTTAAGACACGGTTCCCAGCAGATCACCGAAGTCAAGCATCACTGGCTACGGTCCGTGTGCGGGTAGGGGACCACTTGGATCAGCCTGTGTAGGGACCGAGGTTGTACGGTGTTGCTCCTCGTTAAACTGTTCTACCGTAAAGTGCTCGACTTCACGTGCACGTCGTCGGGCTACCGAAGCGGAGGTGCCATCCCCTCTGCAGAGGATCAAAATTGTGATGGCATGTCTTCGGATCATCCTCAGAGATGTTTCCCAGACCGTCGGCAATAGCCCATTGTGCAGCTCTAGGGCGACGTAAATGAACAACAACTACAACATATTTATCTAAAACTATATTTTATCTGAACTGACATCACTCGTGTCCATCTGTCATTCCTTTACGCTTACTGTGCTGTGAAGACCATTACATTTATGCTTTCGTTTCAATTTTCGTAATTAAATCTAACAATTTTAGACGGTAAATAACTATGAGAGAACAAAGATAATTATAATAAATTGTGCCCCAATGTAGCTTAAAATAATGTGATAGAATATAACTTATTTTTATAATATTTTCTGATAATAACAAAATATAATAATTTATATGGTAATGTTCGAAACATCGTTAATAGTTGATGGCTCTGAATATTAAAGATTTTTTAGTTCAGTAAAAAGGGGGTTAGAATGAGTTATGGATGCTGGATATTACTTCGTAAAATGAAACGTAATAAATACAAAATAATTTTGTTTTTTAATTTCTTTTAACTATTTTAATCACAGTTTTAAGTTATAATTCTACTTATTTTCATGCGAAATAAAAAGAAATTTGTATAAATATTTTATATTAAATAGTTTTAGATTTTAAAAATGTAGAAAAGCTTATAAACTTTATTACATAAAGATATTAATTATTTATTCTAGCTTGAATTTCATGTAAGGCATTATCTCCAGCATAGCAGTATAGCCTCTTAAAAAAATCGCGATCCCCCAAAAATTTTCATTCATTCGATAGTTTTGAAATAGTAGAAAATTTTTGCGATTATTCTTAAGCATTTTTTCTGGAATGTTTTCAGTTTTAAGGAGGTTCCAGCATTCAGCACTATATAAAAATATGGAACGAATAACAGTTATAAAAAAAATATTTTTGTGGAGATTTTTATATTTGAAACTCTCAGAAATTTTTGAAGACTTCTGAAGCAGGTTCTAGCTTGAGTCTTCGGTTGATATAATCACTGCCACCTCCCTGCTTATTTACTACTGCTCTAGTAATAAACTGAGCGCACAATTTCACTAGTTCAAGGTCGCGCGTTGCAATCGATATACTATGCCGTAACTTTTACATTTCAAGGAAAATCAATTTAATATTTTGGTATAATAATCTTAAAAGGATAAACTATCAAAAAATGCAATAATTTGTTTTTTAATTTTAATTTTTTTTTTACTGTGTTGTTCCTCCTTAATAAACAGCAAAGTTATTGATAGATGTATTTAATACTCATAATACTCCCCTCTGCAGAGGATCAAAATTGTGACGTCATGTCTTTGGATCATCCTCAGAGATGTTTCCCAGACCGTCGCCAATAGCCCATTGTGCAGCTCTAGTGCGACGTAAATAAACAACAACAATACTCATAATATATTGTTTACTAAATACAATAAATTAACATGCAAGGACGTGTCATTTTTAGAAAACTTAAGCCATTTTTTTTACCTTTCCCCGGTTAATGTCCCTGATTGCATAACCTAGAAAAAAAAATTTCTTAGATATTTTAAATTTTTAGAGTCCGTCATCAGCGAAGAAACTATAATAATTAATTTTGGACATTTTTGTTCGATTTCTTCCCGTTTCCTCCGGCAACCAAACAGGTTAAGTTTTCAAGCCTGCCCTTTTCAATAGTGATTCGTTAGATTGATATCAGGTATTTTTTCTCTCCCTCGAATGAACAATAAATTGTGAGCCTTAATGTCGACATTTTTTAAAAGGGTTCTACTAATAACATATAAAAAGAAATTTATTATGGAACAACCTTTATATACAATATGACTTTGAAAAAACACAATTGTTGGAAATATTTTAAATCAATTCAGTAGAGTTTGAGTACCCATTTTAAACACTCTTTACCCAACTAAGAAGGAACCATAAAGAAAGCGGAATTAAAACGATCAATAATCATCGTAGGAAACAGAAATTCCTTTAAATACAATTAAGAATAGCTCCATCAGGCAATAAAATTGCTTTTGGTGTTTTATTAACATCTACCTCAAAAGCAATTTGGCAGATTTAAATAGCACATAGCTTAACTATCAATTTTGTGCTGCAATATTTCTTTTATCTACGAATTATTTTATTTGTGCGTTTGAAATGTTTGTTGATTTATATAATAAATTTTTGAAAGGGACAAATACCCATACCCTATCTAGACCCTTCAGGACTCCAGTTTGAATTTATTAAAAAAAAAAAACCTTTTTTTTTATAAATAATTTCGATTTCGTAAAATTGCTTAGACACTTTACCAAACGAAATGAAAATTGTTTTTCTCTTAGAACTCAGTACTAAAAGAAACTTAAAAATGATTAACATTTCCTATCGATAAACGTGGTAAAGTAACAGGTGGCTTTGATAAGACATTGAGTTGATCTTAATGTGAAAACAAATACTGGAAATACAGGTAATTAAAATCTTAGTATCAAAATGGCATTTTTTAACCCTGTGAATTTTCTTGTCATATTTCTTACGATTGTTCCTATGTTGCTTTGCTCAGAATCGATCAATGATGTGGAAAGTGACGGCAATTTGACTGTTTTATTTCATCAAAGTACACTTTCCCCCTGTCATTTTTACGTTTATTTTGTTGCCTCTTAGTTATTTATACTATTTTTTATAACGATATTAATTCTATATTTGTTTATTTAAATGATCGAACGAGCTCGTAAAGTTTCAAGCAATGATGAAAGTTCGATTTCGTATGTCAAATATTTATTTAGGAAATTAAAGTGCAGATACCCGCAGAATAGAAATAAGAATAACCGAGTTATATGTGCGAACAAACTAAATAAAACTAACTATAATAGATTCTAAAAACCAAAATAACTTTATATTGTATATAATAAATCCATCGCTAATTATATATATATGAGCAATGCATTTATTATATGCAATATACAGTCATTTTGGTTGATGTAATTCAATTCAAGGTATATAGTCCGAATTCGCCATGCAGAATAAAAATTGAAGCTTCTTTGTTATTTCCTTACGTTAAATATTGTGGTAATATAACAATTTTTTTTTTAAAATTCAAATATGCAATTAATTTAATTCAAATTAAAATGTCCAGTAAAAAAATAAATAGCGCAGACTCTAATCCCCACTCTCAATTAATAAATTTCGAATAATTATTTGCTATATCTAATGTGCATATTTCTGTCACTCAATTTTTTTATAAGGATTCTAAGAACAGCATATAATGAAAGTGGTGATTCTGAAACACCTTTTATAACTTATAGTTTTACATACAATTTATTTCAAACGTAAATATAACTTATTAAAAAGTAAATATAATTTATTTTCCGTTTAATAATCGTAAACCAACAATTAAATTAGTTTAATAATAAAATGTAGCACAATACGGTAATATTATGCTATTACATTATAATATTACTATTATAACAATTAATAAAATAATATACAAAGAAATACAAATATAACTTTAATCAATGTTATGCTGCTCACAGCCAAAGGTATGTAAATAAAACTTATTTGTAAATTAAAGTTTCATGTGACTTTTAATTTGCAGTTTTTAAATTTTTATGGTAACACAAATCTGCAAATAAAATAGTGTTCAGGAACCAATATCAGGTTTGAATGGATTTTCGGATGCTGATTTCAGGAACAACAATGAACAACTTTTACCACGCATAATTTTTTTTCGAATTGCAAGTTTTAATTTTCATAGTTGCCTACCTATTGTAGTAAAAGTGATAACTCATCATTACTGATTAAATCTGTAGTTATCTAGTCTGTAATGGAAATAAATAAAAAGTAATAATAAAAGTTTAATTTTTTTTTGTTGAAGATTGAAGTTTAAAATGGCTATTATTCGAAAGGCGTGATTCAAATATTTCTATCCAGACAGAGGAGATATAGTTCCGAATTCATTTAGTCCTACTAAATTTTATAAAACCAATTTCAACAGAAAAATAACTAAGTTTTATTTTGTTTTGCTTGATTTTTTTTCAATTTGTTAAATCGTCAAGAAAAATTTCATCAATATTGAGTTTGATTGAATTTAAAAAATGTTCTTTTTCAGTTTTTTTCGAAGAGAGGTGCAAATATACCTATATATGTTGGCCGGGAAAATGTATAGTCGAAAATGGAGAAGACAAATGCCTTTGCCCAGAAGGATACTATGCAAAAAATGGTCTTTGTAAAAGTAAATACCAAGATAAAATAACTATTTAATAAAAAAAAATTTCTTCTACATTTCATTCCTTACTTACTTACAAAGATACAAAATATAATATTTCTCATTCTGAAAATAACAATTTTAGACTCATTAAATTGATCTTTTTAATTTTTAAATATTTATCAATAATTTTTTAGGTGTCAAATGGAAACTGTGAAATCAAAAGAAATTTGCAGAAATAAAAACATTGTAAAAAATATATTTAGCTCCACAAGGTGTCAGTGAGCTTCTTGCTTTGTTCAATTAAATTATAGAAGTTAAATTTAGATCCTTTTTTTCTATATTTATTATACTATTTCTAATCTAATGTACTAAATACAAATCTAATCTAGTGGTCATTTTCTGTATATTAGAAAATCGGTTACAAACAATTTTTTCTAATATTTTACACCAAATATTTACTAGGAATACGGCGGTTGTGCAAATACAGCTTCAATTGCAGTCCAGGATACTGCAGTTTAATTGGAGGCAAAGAAACCTGCTTTTGTCCACCGGATTATTTTTCTAATAATGGCGTTTGCACAGGTAAGAATGTCCTTCATGTGTTGCAAAAAACTTGTGTAACAGAAGACATTTTTTCTAGCGTAATAAAATATACATGAGGCATTTATCACTTTTCTACATCACAATTTGGCAAATATTTACAAAATAAATTTGATGTTACAAAACAACTTCATAATTTGTTGTGATTAAAATTATGATGAGTGTTTTTCCATTTCAGTTTAACACAAAACATAACATAAAAAGGACAAAAAAGGGCAAACTTGTTTCCTTCAAAAGTTTGCTAAACTCTTACTCATCTTATAAGATAAATGACTTTTAATTTTCAGTTACATAAAAATCTGATCCATAATGATCACATTTAACAAATATTTAAAAAAAAAAGAAAAATTAAACCATAATAGTTTCAAATTAATGATAAATTGGGGGGAAATATAAACAATTTTCCTCTGTACGCAAACTCAATAATGATCCACTTATTATTGGGTTTAAAAGAGCAAGATGGAAAAAAAAAGTAAAAAACCAGTACCTTTCACTCTAATGGATTTGTCTTTAAGCTTTATCCTCGAATAAATTGGCATTAGATGATTTTAATATCTCAGTTGTTCTTGTTGAACTTAATGGTGTGTTAATAAATTTCATACAATCCAACCACAGTGACAATTAAAATTTATTTCATTTTCCCTTTTTATATGTACTGGAGACTAACCATCATTTGTAATTGTAAAAATGGTGCATGGGCTAGGTAAAATGACATAAGAATCGATCACTTAAAGAGGCTACCTGGAGTGAAACTGCCAAGTTAAGAGTTTGTATCCTTAAAATGATACTAAGTACAAGGCATAAGTGAATTACAAAATTGTAGAGCATCATCACTTTAGTAGGAATTGACATCTTGTCAACATTAATGCTAAAATTGAACATTTATTTGCTTAGAATTTTCTACACTGTTACGTGATGAAATGATATTCGGAAGAAAAACAAAAGTTTTTATTCATTTTAAAAATAGAACATAAAAGTATTGCCGATTTGAAGTTAGGTGAGCTTTAAACCACCACACAAGATTGAATCACAGTTCTTCACAATTACAGCTTAGAGACTAAAACATTCTGCTATTGCAGGTCAATAAAAATATAAACGGTGTTATATAGATCATATCAGAAACAAAGTTGGTCGCCATACTGTCTACTTGATTATATTTAAAATGTATCATAAAACTCAGTATATAGAAAAGCGTGGCATCTTTTAATAAATTTGGATTCAATTACACAACAATCTATCCAACTGAATGACTGAACTGTTATATAATAAATGAATATTCTAATTAAATTTATATTGAAATTAGAAATTATACTTTTAATTTCAAGTAAAAAGTATAAGTATATATATATATTAAGGTAAAAAGTATATATATAAAAAAAGAAAATAATCATTGGCTAAATTAAGAATAAATATTTTCACATAATTAATAGATATTAAACTTTTTAAGGTAAATTTGTTCTTTTATTTTTATTTATTGTAGAAATTGAACCCAAATGCAGAAGTAAAGATTGTGTACCTGGTGTATGCAATATTTATCGAGGAACAGAAAGTTGTCTTTGTCCACAAGGTTATACAGTGCAAAATGGAACATGCATAGGTAATTATAAGTAATATTTAACAATGCTTATATTAAGTATGTTTAGATTAAAATTTCTATGTAGGAAAAGATCTCGACGATCCAAATTTTTTTTGATAAGATTTTCCTCGGATAACTAAGATATTTGAATTAAAGATGTAATACCCTTTTTAAATCTATTTTCCTCAATAAACTCTGAAAATCAAATTTTTTTAAAAAAATAATAGTGCAATAAAAAATTTAAATTTAGAAGTAGGTAATTTCATTGATTATTCCTTCCATAAGGCTTTTCCCATTTTAATTTGCAATATGCAAAAATACATATATATTTGTACAGACAATATAACATGATTCCTTTCCGTAGAGGTAGAAAGCATGATTGTCAAACTAAAACTATTGAGCACAGGAACATTCTAGATTTAGTAAAGATCAACAACAAAAAAAAAAAAAAAAATAGTTTCAATAAGATGCAGAAAAAAAAATTTATTAATAAAGCCTTGATAGATCATCATAAGTATATATATGTATAAAATTGTTTTCCTTACTTTTGTCGATTATCTCGCTCTTTTATTTATTTGTCTCTTTATTATGTTATACAAATCATGTGAACTAACAATGAGATTATATCTTTTCCTTATTTTGTATTCCAATATATTAAATGTGATTAGAAAAATTTTACTTATTAATAATTTTTCCTCCTCTATTTAAAATTATATTTTTCTTTAGTGTTTTCTTTGTAATTTTAACTTATATATATACCAACTTAAATTCAAATTTAGTTTGTAAATTAATTTGTAACAGCATTTGCTAGAAATATATTTATGAAAAATTGCATTAAAAACTGAATTTGAGGACAGTTTCAAGTAATAGTAAAAATATATATATATATATATATATATTTTTTTTTTTTT